AAATGATTTACTGTTTGATAGTCTCTTGCCCCATCCCCACTAGGACAGCAGCTTCAGGTTTTAGCTTCAGTGAAAAAAAGTGTAGCCTACAGTAGCTGCTCAAGAAATGTCTGTTAAAGGAAAACTCCTTAGTCCTTCTTTATATGTTTCACTGAATTATGACTGCAATATCTGAAGTTATATTTTATCCATCTTTGTTATTCCATTCTTGTAATATAAGCATGTCTAAACTAGCTTTCAATAGATCCCTGACATCCATGGATAATACCACTGTAAGCAAAGCCTCTCAGTGGATCACTCAATCAATCAAATAAACACACAACAAACAGATTATTCCATAAGATTTTCAGTTTCAAGGACTCCAGACCCCACAGATTGGTTTGGTTTTTTTTAAGGCTTTCTTCAAAAATCTCATCAACATTTGAAATCTGTTTTTCCATAGAAGTTCATGTCTCTGACTGTTTCCAATCTAGTCTAACTCATCATATATTGAACTGGAACGTGGCCAGTGGTGTCCTGGGTCTATGGTGGGAGCAGTAAAATGGCTGAGTGGAAGGAGTCCAAACTGAGCCTCATTTGTTAATACTTGCACAGGCTGTTTGTATTTGGAGATGGAGAACAGAGAGAGATGACTGAGTTGAGATGTCTCTGCCTACCTCAATTTTCTTGTGGAGCATTTGTTTCTTTTTCCCTTAAAAATTATTTTATTTTTATCCGAGTGTCAGTGCACCACCTGTGTGCAGTGCCCAAGGAAGCCAAAAGAGGGCATCAGACCCCTGGAGTTGGAGCTACAGACAGTGTCGTGGGAACCTGACCCTGATCTTCTGGAAGAACAACAATCTTCTTAACCACAAGCTCATCACTCCATTCCTCCTCTTTCTTCTGACAGGGTGTGTCTAGGGGAAGCTGTAAACAGAAGCTCTGTCTCAAGCCTCTTCCATTCTCTTTACCGCTAAAGGCGGCAAGCACCTCTCCTCTTTCCTCCTGCCTCTTCCCTATGAGGAGGAATAAAAGCATGACCAACTTGCTAGACAAATGCCCAGGCAGCTATGCCACCTATGACAACCACCTGCCTTTGTGAGTGTAAGACATGGTTTCCGCAGTTGAAAAATGTGATTGTGGTACCTATGTACCTAGATGTGGAGGTAAGAGGGAAATTTTGCCCCCCTGAGCGTGAGAGTCAGTGAGGAGACCTGGGCAACCTATAAGGCCCTGGGCAGTGGATCAGTGTTTATCCCTGGCATACAAACAGACTTCGGGTGTCCATAACACAAAGAGGGATGCTTTCTCAGCCTGGTCTCTTAGGGGAGTGCCTGGACCCTGCCCTGAGTGAAATGACAGACTCTAGATATCCCCTATGTGGAAGGAAGTGGCTATAGGGTGGGAGGCTGGAGGAGATGGGGGAGGGTGCAGGAGGAGGGGAGGGAGAGGAACTGGGATTGACATGTGAAGCAAGCTATTTAAAATTAAAGTAATAATAAAAATTAAAAAATATTTTTATTCTGTGCGAATGAATGCCTGTGCCCAGGGAAACCAGAAGAGGGTATGGGATCCCCCAAGACTGGAGTGACAGACATTTCTGAGCATCCATATGGGTGCTGTGAATTGAACCTTGGTCCTCTGCAAGAGTAACCAGAGCTCATAACCACTGAGGCACTTCTTTGGCCCTCAGAGAACAACGTTTATGAATTAGTTCTTTTCTTCTATTATGGGTTCTGGAGATGGAATTAAGTTGTCAATTTTGCATGGAAATCATTTTAAATATTTTTTAAATTTTATGTGTATGAGTTTTGTCCCTGTGTATGTATGTGTTCCACAGGAGTCAGAAGAAGGTATTAGGTCCCCCTGAATTGGAGATATAGATTACTCTAATCCTCCATATGAGTTCCAGGAAGTGAAGGCAGGTCCTTTGCAATACCAGGGAGTACTCTTAGCCACTGAACCAGACCCCAAGACAAGCGCTTTTACCTATTAAGAAGACATCTCATTGGTCCCAATTCCTAAAACTCTGTACTTGTTGGCACATTGGTGAATGCTTTCATTGGGGTTGGGAAAAATGGGTTATTATCTCAGTAAAGTACTTGCTCAGCATGTACCAAGCCCTGAGTGTGATTCCAGGTACCACTGAAATATAAATAGGCACTGGGGAACCTGCCAGTAATTCCAGCAGTTAGGAGGTAGAGGCAGGAAGATCAGAGGTTTGTGGTCATTCTTGGCTACATAGCAATTAGATTCTAGCCTGGGTTTATGAAACTGTATTTGGAGGTGGGGATAACCTTTAGGGAACTTTAATCCCAGCACTGAAGAGGTAGAGGTAGATGATGTATATAGTGAGTCCCAGATGCACCCTGTCTCAAACAAAAACCATTTAGGGAACGGGATTACCAAAGAACAGAGAGGCTTTTGGTTTAAGCTGGTTTTGTTTTCGGTGTTCCAGATCAAGTAGCTCCCAAGTTCCAGGGCTCCCACAAATCATTTAAGAACTTCGGTGGGTTGTCATTTGTTTTCACAAAAGTCACTCAAAGCAATGAGAGGAGCCAAGAGACTTGGCATATGAACGAGAGACTGCCTGTTTGCATGTCATGGGTGTGACCCAAGAATGTCGGACTGTGATTACTACTCAGAATGCAGCAAGACTGCGAGATCCCTGACTGAAGGATCCGTTGTCATTTATTCACATCCCCACAGCACAGCGCCTAAGGCAGTAAGGTGCTTGGTCAATACGAAGTGAGTGATGCAGAGCACCGATGTACCTAAGCAGGCAAGAATGCCCATAACGATCCCTCTGCTCTTTACAAAGTTATCTTTTGATGAGTAATAAACAGCCACAATGTTTCCATGAGTCCATTTCCAGTTGTAAAATTCAGTGTAATTTTATTATGAAAATTCAGTTTGTAATCACATACTTACTTCTTGAATCTCAGGATGCGAGACCACTTACCTGGCAAAGTGTTTTTCACATGAGCAGGGGGACCTGAGTTCACATGCCCTGTATCTACTTACAAAGCTGGCAGGGCAGTGTGAATCTGTAAGCACCTTGCTGGAGAGGCAGAGACAGGAAGCTGCCTGGAGCATGCCAGCCAGCCAGTCTAGCCAAATCAGTAAGCGCCAGGTTCGTTAACAGACTGAATCTCAAAGCAAAACAAACCAAAGTAGTGGAGGTTAAGAAAGTCCTCTGGCCTCCATGCACATGCGTTCTCATCTGCTTATGCGCACACGCGCGCGAGCACACACACACACACACACACACACACACACACACACAGCAGAAAAGCCTTCAAACTCTTTCTTAATGTCGTCTCTACAGACTGCATTTTCAGTATTGTCCAGTGCTGCTTTTTTTTTTTTTAAGAATAAATAAAAACACTGATCCACTGCTCAGGACCCCATAGGTTGCCCAGGCCTCCTCACTGACTCTCACACTCAGGGGGTCTGGATCAGTCCCATGCTGGCCTCCCAGCTGTCGTCTGGGGTCCAAGAGCTCCCCCCTGTTCGGATCAGCTGTCTCTGCTGGTTTTGCCAGCTCATTCTTTGCCAATTTGCTCATGGGGTCCTGATCAGTGTTTATCCCTCAAATACTAACAGACATTGTGTGTCCATAGCACAAAGAGGGATGCTTTCTCAGCCTGGACTCTTAGGAGAGTGCCTGGACCCTGCCCTGAGTGAAATGACAGACTCTAGATATCCCCTATGTAGAAGGAATTGGCAATAGGGTGGGAGGATGGGGGGGATGGGGGGTTGCGGGAGGAGAGGAGGGAGAGGGAACTGGGATTGACATGTAAAATAATAAAAAAATAAAACAGTAAAAAAAAAAATAAAAACATGGTTGCGAGGTGCTCAGTTATTTATCAGATGGAGCCATCTCTAACAAACCTGTCCTGCCTGAGTGAGGCTAACTTCCCATCTTCACTCCCTGAGCTTAGAAACCTAAACTCCATGGCTTGGTCACATGCAGTAGTGCTCAGAACGGGGGGGGGGGATTAGTAGCAGGTGTTGGGTCATTCTGATTAGATACAAGGTGTGTGTGGTGTGTGTGTGATATGTGTGTGCAGTATGTGTGTGTGGTATGTGTGTGTGTGTGGTGTGTGGTGTATGTGTGTGTATGGTATGTGTGTGTATGGTGTGTGTGTGGTGTGTATGGTGTATGTGTGTGTGTGGTGTGTGTGTGTATGGTGTGTGTGTGTGGTATGTATGAGGTGTGTGTGTGGGGTGTGTATGGTATGTGTGTGTGTGTGGTGTGTGTATGGTGAGTGTGTGTGGTATGTGGTGTCTGTGTATGTGGTGTGTGTGGTGTATGTGTGTGTGTGGTATGTGGTGTCTGTGTATGTGGTGTGTGGTGTGTGTGTGGTGTGTGGTGTGTGTGGTGCATGTGGTGTGTGTGTGTGTGTGTGGTGTGTGTATATGTGTGTGTGGTTATGTGTGTGTGGTGTGTGTATGTATGGTGTGTGGTGTATGTGTGTGTGGTGTGTAGTCTGTGTGTGGTGTGTGTATGTGTGTGTGGTGTATGTGTGTGTATGGTATGTGTGTGTATGGTGTGTGTGGTATATGTGTGTGTATGTATGGTTTGTGTGTGTGTGTGGTGTATGTGTGTGTGGTGTGTGTGGTGTATGTGTGTGGTGTGTGGTATGTGTGTGTGGTGTGTGGGGGTGGTGTGTGTATGGTGTGTGTGTGTGGTGTGTGGTGTGTGTATGGTGTGTGTATGGTGTGTGTATGGTGTGTGTGTGTGGTGTGTGTATGGTGTGTGTATGGTGTGTGTGGTGTGTGTAGTGTATATGTGTGGTGTGTGTGTGTGGTGTGTGTATGGTGTGTGTGTGTGGTGTGTGTGTGTGTGCGTGTGCACTTGCTCACGTGCACGTGTGCGAGCACACACGCATTTAAAACTTAAGAAGTTTGGTTCAGTAACCCCGAAGTGAATCTCATAGCCCAGGCCTTACTTTGCCGGCAACAGGGCGTGGCCGGAGCTGTCCACCATCTTCCCAGAAGCCTTTGCGACTATGAAAAGTAGTCCTGAGGCAGGCGGCCACAGCAGGGCGTCGTTCTGTGGGTGGCCAGTTCCTCAAGAAGGCGATGGACAAGATGGGGCGTGTAGGACGCTCTAGCTTGGGTGGAGTGGCCATGTGGCCTCGACGGGTCTATAACCGCAAGAAGAGAGCTGGCGAGAGGCTCAACCTCACCCCAAAGCCGGACCTAGCCCTCCCTGGGAAGACAGAGGCACCACCAGGTCGAAACGAAGTTCAGCAGGCTCGGGTGGCGGGTGGGCCTTGGCTGGACCTCTGGGGCCTCGGCCGGGGTTGAGTGGGGGCAGGAGCAGGTTCCCTGAAACATGGCACCCTCTCGCAGGTCTGAAGGGAAAGGGCAAAGAGCAGGGACTGCGGAAGATTACTGAGAAAGAGGAACTGAGCAGGCCCAGAGGTAGCAGCTCACAGCTGCCAAGGTGGGTAGCCTAGGGTAATAGCCCTGAGCAACTTGGCTTTCTCAGAAAATTTTAAGTTTTGTTTCAGCTTAATGTCCTCTCGTTCGAGGAGTCTAGGGAGAAAATGAATGCTCTAGTTCTGCTCCTAAAACAGATCCAGAAATTGGGGCGTAGGGCGGGGTGGCAGTGTGCACACACATTCTCATATGTTTTTTTTCTCACAAATGTGCGTGTTGTGTTATATATGCATTTATAGGTAACACACATATATATTTATAGATAACACACATGACAGGATCATGTAGCCCAGGCTGGCCTCAAATTCCCTACTTAGTAGAGGTTGTCATGCCTCCACCTCCCAAATGTGGAATTACAGATTTGTGCCATTACACTGTGGTTTAAGGCTCTCTACCAACTGAGATACCCAGCCTAGCTAGGCAGATTCATCTTATTAGTAGAAGACTTGCCAAGTTACTTAAAAGTGAGACAGAACCTCTAAGGCAAGCATTTGTGGCATCATTTAGCTTTTGGTGCAAATCTCATAATCAGCTCTCCAAGATCTCCTTAAAGGAACTTTCAGATTTTAAACTACAAAAAGACATTGTCAACGCCAGATGCTGTGAACTGAACTGTTGTGTTTATTTGCAGCCACTTAAGTGTTACAGGAGGGGAAAGTCTGCAAGAAAATAGTCCTGGCAAGGAGACCCCAGATAAGAAGATAACGACACTGAGTGTATGTATGTTTCTCCCATGCTTACATTCATTAGGGTAGAGACAGGCAGTAGCTGAGACACCTCTGGATAGAAGAATGAACTAGTCTTTGTTAAAAGGTATCTAATAGTTTCTAGTATTTTTATTGCATTGATATATATGTCTTTACCTAGGGAGCCCTTGGGTTTTTCACTTAAGTAGGTTTATAATTATGCACCTTTCATCTTTTTCACGACTTTTAGTGAGTACAGGGGGAGATGTTACTTATTAATGTTCTATTTTACAGGTTCAAAATCTTAATATTTTAAAGCCATTTTCGTGTTTTCCATTTGACTGTGTCCATTGGCAACTAGATTGAGTACTAAGGATTCAGTATGCTACAGAGCATTCTAATATTCTTTTATTATAATATAACTTTTTGAGATGGGATCCTCACTGCATAGCAGAAGCTAGCTTTAAACTCACAATTTTTTTTGCCTCAGCCCACCAGTCCTGTGTTTAAGAGATGGCAGTTTCAGATATGACATTTTAAAAAACAAATTTGATATTATATTTTAACAGTATATGGTGACATATTCTGTGTAGATGATTTAGATATTCAAAATAGTATGTAAAACTCTCTTCAAATTGCTGTATATTTCTTTCCGTGCTTTAAAAACATTTTCCAACTTATGTATTACCTTGTTATTAAATAGAAAAAGTATAATAATGTCTTCATAAAGTATATCTGATAGATATACGAAAATGTGTTTGACTGTTTTTTTGGAGATTGGGAGACAGAGTTTCCAATGTTTTTGTGGGCATTGATAGACACACTTCTACAGGAATATGTGTGCATTTCAGGTTGTAATTTAAGTTAAATACTTTGCATTAGGCCAAAGGGTGGATGTGCTCAACGTTTTGTGATTCATGTTGAGAAATCGGCACATTCTTACTCAAAATGATGAAAGATGAAATGCTGCATGTTATTTTCCATTTCTTTTAATGCTTATGAAGTCAGTCCTTTTTTTCTCATTATTGTCCATTTGTATTTCTTCTGCTGTGAAACATCTGTTCATTATATACTGAAGATAACTTTACACACATAGCAAATATTTTCATTGACTTATGAGTCTTTAATTTTATTATTTTAGACTTCTATATCATTTTTTATTTTGATTTATTTTGCTCTTTATTTAAAGGGTTAGGAAAATTTCTTCCTAGTGGATCAGAAAAATATTCACCTTCTGTTTACTGTTTTGTCTCACAATAGTGAGTTGACTATTACTAGTTCCTCGTGTTTATTAATAGTAATCTAATATTTAGTTTTTGATTTAATATTAAATAGCAGATTATGTGTGACAAATATTTTGATATATCCACAAAATTAGCATACAAACTTGACAACCATTTTTCAAAACAAACCAAATATAAAAAAAAATCAAATAAAAATATCAATCTCACAATTTGTACTATATCTTTAATTCTTATTCCACATAGGAGTCAGCGACTAATGACTTCAAGATTGACAGCTGTTCATCAAGCAGTGAACTAGTTTCAGGTAAGACTAGCAGATAGAAGCCTTTTGTCTCTTCTCCAGACATGTGCACTCATTTGTATCTTTTGATGTCTCATTTCAGTGGAAGAGATGATGTCTTTCCCCTAGTCTAACATGAATCCTCCCGACTGTGTTCTAGACCTCATTCTCAGTGTCTATATGTTTACACCAGTAAATGCAAAGCTGTAGTTGTGACATGTTACAAAAGAGAATGACTTGAATGTAATTAATTATATTTAGCTAGAAATATTAGGAAATGCTTTCCTGTGAAGGTGGCAATTGAAGTGAGATCTGAAGGTGAATAGAAATTAGCTATTTAAAAAGATGGCAGAGAAATCCATGCAAAAGAAAGAGTTTATACAAAGGTCTTCCTGCAGGCCTTGCTGGCACCCAGGGCCAGAGCAAGTAAGCTCAGGACAGAGTCAGGGACAGCTGACTCATGCAACTCAGGGCTGCATCATTCCTGCCAGTGTGGATCCAAGTTTTGGCCCAGGCCCAGGGTGACATACAATGTAATGGTGCCTCTTGATTCTGAGATGAGAGGCTGTAAGAGAAAATCTAAACTTTTATGTCTTGACCCCTTGAGGAAAAATATCAAGCCAGATGCCAAAATAGTTGTAATCCCCACATAGCTTGTTAAATTTGGTTTAATCAGTGGTGGTTGCTTTCAAAGAAGAGAAAACACTGTTGCTTTTAAATACTTGGCTTTTGAGAGACTATGCTGTGCAGATGAAGATGACTGTCCTAGTAGAGTTACTATTGCTATGATGAAACACCATAACCAAAGCAAGTTGGGGAGCAAAGGGTTTATTGGTAGTATGCTTTTCATCACTGTTCATCATTGAAGGAAGTCAGGACAGGAACTCAAATGAGCTCCTGAAGGTTGGAGCTGATGCAGAGGACATGAAAGGGTGCTGCTTACTGGCTTATTCCCCATGGCTTGCTTAGTCTGCTTTTATTTATTTATTTATTTTTTGTTTGTTTGTTTGTTTGTTTAAATTTCATTTTACATTCCAGTCACAGTTCTCCTTCCCACCCTCCCTCACCTTCCTTCAAGCCCACCACCCATCCACTCCTCTCAAAGGGTAAGGGTTCCCATGAGGAGTCAACAAAGCCTGGCTCATTAAGTTGAAGCAAGACTAAGCCCCTTCCCACTGCATTAAGGTTGAGCACGGTGGCATCCCACCATAGGGAATGGGCTCCCCACAAACTAGCTCATGCACCAGTGATAGATCCTGGTCCTACTGCCAGGGGTCCCTCAGACAACCAAACTTCACAACTTTCCTCCACATGCAGAGGGCCTAGCTCAGTCCCCTGGAGTCTCCACAGCTGTCTGGCTAGAGTTCATGAGTTTCCAGGGTCAGCTGTCTCTGTAGATTTCCCCTTCATGATCTTGACCTCCCTTGCTGCTTTCTTATAGAACTCAGGACTCTCCAGGCCAGGAATGGTCCCACCCACAATGGGTTAGGTCCTCACATATCAGTCACTAATTAAGAAAATGCCCTACAGGTTTTCCTACAGCCCCATCTAATGGGGGCATTTCCTTTTCTGTGATGACTTCAGCTTGTGTCAGTTAACATAAAACTCTCCAGCACAACGACTGTGTCTGCACATGTGTATCATAAATACCCAAGAAGACACTTGTGAGAACATCTTATTTGCTTTTCCAGTCGGCATCACCATCTAATCAAAATTTCCCTAAGACAATAGAATTGGCTTGAACCTATAAGCAGCATTAAAAGAAAGGACCCATGCTTTCTTCTAAGGAGACCCTGAATATCGACAGTGATAATGAAAGTTTAAATGCACCTTCAGCACTGGATTTATTCATCCTTCATATTGGAATTTTATTGGCTCCTACAAATATAAAAGTTTTACCTCAAAGACACTGACATATAGATGATTTCTTTCCATGAGTTACCAGATTGTTAGGTCTTTCATAATATGATTCCTTTGACAAGAAAGTTCACAGAGGCAAAATCAAAATCTATTTTGACAATAGTGCCAACATCTAGTATCTAGATCCATTGAGAAAATGCTTTAGTATGTCCTGCTGTTTGATGCATTTTTATTGTGATTTTCTTGGCTTCTCATATGCTGTGCACAGGAGCCATTTTTCATTAATATAAATTATCAAAGATATTTCTAAATCTCTTGGTAAAGAAGAAAATGCAGCACATGTGTGGTACTGGCCAGCCTTCAGCCTTTGCTCAGATCTATCAGAAGAACATCTCAGTGTGACTGTTCAGCTGTCTGTACTTACAGCTTTGTGGGTGGTCTTTTCTTGGGCACAGGATTCCCCACTATCATTGATAGGGGAGAAGCAGACAACTGTAACAGAAACAATTTAACAACAAACCAGATTTGAAAAAAAAAATAAAACTCCACGTGGGATCGTTGAAAAAAAAAAAACAATAAAACAACAAACCAGATACTAAGATGCAATAAAAAGCAATTGGGCACTTTGTCCACATTCCCACTAAGGAGCTAGAAGACTGAGAGAATAAGCAAGTAATGTAAAGATTATTAGAGTTAAAATTATTAATAATAAAAAATAAAGAGAAACCATGCTTGATGGAGCACACCTTTAATCCCAGAGCTCAGGAGGCAGAGGCATTAGGATCTCTGGGAGTTTCAGGACAGACTAGTCTACATAGTGAGTTCCAGGACAGCCAGGGCTGCATAATAAGATCCTGTCTCAAATTTTTAAAAAGGCAAAGAGGAAGTAGGAAAAGGGAAGTAAAATAGGAATGAGGATAAGCTATCAGGGTTATATTCTGTGCATGCTTATATTAACTTTTGCAATTTGATATTATCTGAGTTCAAGCTGCTTTTCCCAGTGTCCTGTATATAGTCTTTGCCTAAGTATACTTGTGTCCCCAAGTTTGTATCCAGGTCAACTCCTGTATTCATGTGGCGTCAGGTTAGTGTCCTGCATGTGAGTATGTGTGTGTGTGTGTGTGTGTGTAACAGTGCTAAATTGTTATGTTGCTTGATTTTCTCTAAGGATTGGCTTTCTTGGTAGCCTTGGTTCAGGTAAAGATGTGTATCTGTGCCCTTTATGAGCACTAATTACCACACAATGTGTAGCTCTTCTATTTACGATTTTGCTTTTGCATTGTCTTTCCCCCAGATCTCTTTGTACTTTCTATTTAAGGAAATGTCTCAATGAGTTTCCCAGGCTGGCCTTAAATTCTATAACCCAGATAGAGTTGCCTGCTTTAGTCTCCTGAGTAGCTAGGACTGTAATCCTACTCCATGAAGCATGCACCAACATGCCTACCTTAGTGTTAGTTTCTTAGAGTATGGTATAAATTTTAAGTTTTTTAAAAATTTCTTTTTATGTGTAAGAGTGTGTCTGCATGTATGTATGTGTACCGCATGTGTGTCTGGTGCTCAAGGAGAATGTCTCAGATTCCATGGAAACAGAGTTACAGGTGGTTGTAAGTTGCTATACAAACCAAATCCAGGCCTTCTGCAAGAAAATCAGGTGCTCTTAACTGCTGAGCCATCTCTTCAGCTCAATTTTTGTTTTGTCCTCTTTGGGGTTCGGCTTTTGGGGATGAAGGGCTTCTGTTGTTATAGGGATTGGACCCAGGGCTTCACACATGCTGGCAAGTATTCTACCACACACCCAACCTTTAGTTTTCTTTTACATATGCATATGGAGTTACAAATACAATTTGTTTAAAAGACAATCCTTTCTTCACTAAAGTACTTACATGTCTTCATAAAATCTGTACACATACCTGAGGGTGTTTCTGGGATGTCTGTTCAGGCTTTTGTTGGTCTGTTTTTCATTCTGTGTTAGCCTGTCTTTTCCTGGATGGAATAACTATTCATCCTTTTTTCTTCTTAGCTAGTGAATTGTTTATAGAACTTGAATTTTTTGAGCTAGAATTACAGCTCAAATGAATAAGGAATAGGCAATAAAGGTAAAACTTAGGGAAGCAGTCAAAAAGGATTTGAATGTATTTATCAACATCAAAGCAAATTATTGATAATATTATGACTTGCTAATTGTGTATGAAGTCAATGTTAAATTCTTGGTATATAACTACATGTACATTTCTACAGATGTGCATTAGTAGGATTCTAATTCTGTTCTCTATTCTGTTCAACCTTTTTTGTTTTACTTTATTTTACAGGGCGAACTTTGGAGCATGATGTTTCCAGTTGTTTCCTGAGTTGTTCAGACACAGATTCATATACAAAGAGTACTGAAGAGAGTAGAAGTAGCTTCTCATCACCTGAGATCTTCAGAGGATCAGACTATTTGGGTGAGAGTAGGGTTTCTTCCTTAATTGACTGTGCAGTAAAATTGTTGCTTTGTCCATAAATCTCACAGTGAATACATTTGTACATAGTGAAGTGGAGGTGCATTTGTTCTTTAAATATACATATGCACTTCTATTGTTTGCTTTTATTTCATGTAGTTTTTTTTTACTCTTCAGTATATAACATGTTAGGTCAATCCCTGCTTGAATTTTCTTCACAGTTATTTACATTTATTATTTATTATAAATAAAGCCTTTGGTTTATGATGGAAGACAACATAGACTTTTCTCTATAACTTCTTGCAACAACATAAAAGTGCCCTTTTCTTTTCAAATACAAACTCTTAAAGACACAGTGAGTTAGAAAAAAAAACTTAAAGGAGTTCCACTAAGATCAGAAACATGATAAAGTGTACACTCTCTTCATTCCTATTCAATGTATCTCTTGATATCCTAGCTAAAGAAGTAAGACAAGAAAAGGAAAAGTGATCTGACTAGGGAAGGAACAAATACAGTTATCCTTATTTGCAGATGATGATTCCGTATGTAAAAGACCCTAAAGATGCTGCTAGAACATTCTTCGAACTGATAAACAATTTTGGTAAAGTAGCAAGGTACAAAGTTAACATTAAAAATACTCCAGTAACCTCTCTGTATACCAAAGACAAACATATTGAAAAAGAAATCTGGGAAGCAATCCCTGGAATTCACAATATCCTTCCTCAAAATAAAATGCCTTAGAATAAACCTAAATAAGAAAGTGCTAGACCTTTTAAAATGAAAACTTTAGTATACTGAAGAAACTGAGGAAGATTCTAGAAGGAGAGACCTCTCATACCCATGGATTTGAATAATTAATATTGTAAAGATATTCATCCTATTAAAAGCAGTAGATTCAGTGAAATATCAATCAAAATTCCAATTCCGTTCTTCCCAAAAATAGAAAAGGCAACTGTGTATTTGTGTGTGTAGATTGTTTTCCTCCTCACCTTATTTTTTTAGATAGGGTGTCTCACTGAACCTGGAGCTCACCAATTTTCTAGACTGGCAGGATCTTCCTGTTTCTACCTCCCCAGTACTGGAATTCAGAGATACTGTTGCCATGCCCAGCTTTTTTATGAGGAAGCTGGGGATCAAACTTGGCTCCTCAGTAAGGATTTTTATCAGCTAAGCCATCTCCCCAGCTGTAGAACAAAGCAATCTTAAAATTACAGGGAAGCATAAAAGATCCTAGGTAGGCAAAGCAATCCTGGACAAGGAGGATAATATTCTACGTTTCAATTAACAATGATTTAAAGTTCTAAACTACAGAACTGTGGTAATAGAAACCACATGATACTGGCACTTAACCAGACACAGGGGACATCAGGTTGGTGACTCAAAGCAGGAACCTAGAGGCAAGAACTGATGGAGGAGCAATGCTTACCAATGCTTACCGACTTGCTCCTCTTAGCACACTCAACCTGTTTTCTCATACCATCCAGGACTCTAAGGTGCAGGGTGACAGCATCATCAATGAGATGGGCCCTCCCACATCAATCTTTAATAAAAAAATGCCACACAGGCTTGCCTGCAGACCAATCTGGTGGGGACATTTTCTCAATTGAGATTCCTTTTTCCAAAATGACTCTACCTTGTGTCAAGTTGACATAAAACTAGCCAGCATAATTGACCCCTTATCAACTTGATAACATACAAACACATCACTATTCAACTAGAACCTTTCTTTGTCATTTGTCCCCAAGATGGCATGTTAATATTAATAACACAATATAAAACATTCCAGTTCTTTAAAGTCCCATTCTTTAAAAATTCAAATACTTTAAAAGTTCAGTCTCTTGTCATTCATGATGGTACATAACTTTAATCATAGCTCTCAGGATACAGAGGCAGGTGGATCTCTGTGAGTTTGAGGCTAGCCTGGTCTACATAGTGAGCTCCAGGACAGTCAGAGCTACATTGAGAGGCTCTGTCTCAAAAACAAAAACAAAAATAAACAATAATAAAAATTCAGTCTCTTTAAAACATTCAAAGTCTCTTTCAAAGTTCAGAGTTTCTCTAAAATATCAAAAGCCTCTCTAAAATTCCAAAGTCTCCCCAGGCAGTGATGGCACATGCCTTTAATGCCAGCACTTGGGTGGCAGAGACAGGCAAATCTCTCTGAGTCTGAGGCCAGCCTGGTCTACAGAGTGAGTTTGAGAACAGCCAGGGCTACACAGAGATACCCTATCTTGAAAAACAAAAAAGATTAAGTAGATGAAACACATAGAAAACTAAACCATCTGGGGAGATAGGGAGACATTGAGTCAGGAAAACCAAAAGATTGCCATGGTATACCAGAAGAACAAGATTTGTGTAGTATTTTATCATGATGTTACCTACATGGAATATCTAATATGTCTGGAGATGTATCTCAGTAGTAAAATGTTGGCCCAGCATGCATGGGGCCCTGGGTTCAGTACACAGTCTCCACATGTAAAAAGAACATCTGATGATATAATAGCATGCTATGGACACAGTAGAAAGTCACAGACAGGGATGCAATAGGGATAGCACCATTCTTCCATAGACATGATTAATAGAAAGCTTACAACTGATACAGGTTATAGCAGTGTGACTGTGTTGCTCAATGGCATGAAACTATGAGAGTTGGCCACTTAAGTGTATCCTGCCATCCTGTAGCTCAGTGATCTCTGTAAAGCAAAAATCTAGACAGAAGACAGGTAAGGACAGAGGCCTGGAATAAGCCATAGATTCTTATCTTGACTTATCCTTGTGTTCTGTTCTATCCAAAACTCTAGAATGGATAGGACCCTAAGTTTGGGGGCATGGAGTAACCTGGCACCTGTAGGCTTTTCAAAGTTTTATGTCATTTTTAAACTTTGAAATTACATTTACTTATTTATGGTGTATACCATGACATATTCTGCTTTTTAGATTGGGAGAATCCCAAGTTGGAAGATTACAAGACCTGCAAGAATTCCACTCTTCTAGACACCAGCAAAGCAGTAGCTGTAGAGAAGGTACCACAGCTTGCAAACCTCTCAGCAATTTTGAGTAAGTTTTACATTCGTTTTTTTCTCTGTCACGAGGAAATGCCCTCATCTTTGTTGGAAAATGAAAGTAGTTTTTTTTTCTCTCATAAATGATTTCTAATCTAAACCTATGAGCCAAGATTGCTTTTGGCTACAGAAAATACATAACAATAGTTTTAGTATGTATGGGCTTCTGTTTCATTGTTTACATTTTACTATGTGTCTGTAAGTATGTGTGTGTGTGTGTGCATAATGCACAAGCATTTGCATATGACATACTGCACATATAGAGTTCAAAGAGCAGCCCAAAGGAATCCTGGGTATCAAATTCACTTTGTCATCTCGGCAGCAAGCTCCTTTATCCAAGGAACCATCTTGCCAGCACCTAATTTTAAAAATTACATTTATTTAGTACATGGATGTGGGTACATGCACATATACGTGTGCCATGACATATTTGTAAAAATCAGAGGAAAACTTTTGGGAGCTGGTTTTCTCATATACAATATGGGTCCTGGGGATTGAACTTGGGTCCTTGTGAATGCTTGGCAAGTACATTACTGACTGAGCTTCTCTTAGCACAATCCAATCTTTTTTATTCCTGTTGTTTGTTTGCAGTGTTAGAGATTGAAACTAGAACCTTGCACATGCTTGGCAAACTGTCTACCCCCATTCATCTCACTGACCCACCTCATTTTTTGGAGATAGGCTTTCTTACTGTGCCTGGCCATCATTTGTTAAACTAAATACAAAAGGCAGTTGGTTGGTTTTGTAACTGACTAGTCCTTGTTTTCTCATATGTAAAATGGGAAAAAGTAAATTGGTGTGTTTGAATGACTTGGTTATTGTAAAATTCCCCAAAAAATAGTTGTGAAAGATATTCAGATTATATATAAACTACCCAAATGTTTATATATCTCATAATACTTTTTTATGTTTTACTTTGGTATTTTCAAAATACCTTTGCCTAATTTAAGAGACACATATGAAAAACACTATAAAATCAAACATAAAATCAGAAGTTCTGTCACTATGTATGCTGAAGAGAAATATTTATTTTTATCCAGCATAATTTTAGCTTCTGGTGTGCCCTTGGGTTATCTCTATGTCTAATGGATTGATTTTTCCCCCCTTTGGTAGGTTCTTCTTCAGAAAACTATGAGAAATGCCATAGAAAAATGTAAGAACTAAAAATTTTGATATTGTACTTTTCAAAACCCTTTATTGTAAGAGTTATATAATAGTGATGCCTGCCATTACACAAGCTCAAATGAATTTCATTCATTCAGTGTTGGCTGAGCACTTACTCTGGTCTAGGAGCATTCTAATTGCTGGGATATAGTAAGGAGTAAAATCAATTAAACACAAAATTGCTGCCCTCATCTCATCCACAGTACATTTTGGAGAGATAGACAATAGACAAGTAAATATGCTCTCATATGCTGTGTTGTAAAGGATGGCATCAAGAAAGATAAAGCAAGATGAACTCTGGAGTGTTGGAGTCGAAGCTTGCTACTTTAATAGTATGGTGGAAGGTTGCCATTGGAAAGACATAATTTGAGCAGTTATCTAAAAAAGGGCAAGTTAGGCAAAAAGCACTTTAGGTCGAAGGAATAGCCAGAGAAGGGCCGGAGGTAAAAGGCTAAGCTTCTAGGACACTTGAAAGTAGAATTAACAAGATTTGTTGATGGACCCCGTGGTGCAATATGAGAGGAACTGATCATGGCTGACTCCACTATTTGGAGTAAATAGCACATATATCAAATAACATTTAGTAAAAGTCAGTGGGCATATTTTTATCTTATCAAAGTTACTTTGTCAAAATTGAGTCAGGCTTCATTTTGTGGGAATTTGTCAGTCAAGCATTAACTAATTCATGTTGGCTACTAACAGACAGCTTTGGATACCCACCTCTGTGTGCTAATTGTAATCATGTCAAGATTTTTCTTCTCTTCTTTGGTTCTGTTTTAGTATGGCTTCTTGTAAGTCTACAGAATCGATTTTTCTCATAGTGAAAGAAGATGGAAAGGCACTTTTTTTCTGTCCAAATTTATATTAAATAAAAGCAGGATTATAGGGAAAATATTCAATTCTAGTGGATTGCAAATAATTGCATCATCTAATTAAATTGAATTAGACTTTTAATTTCTTAGATTTTTAATAATCTGAAAATAAAAAACCCTATTCATTGTGAATTGCTAAAAAGTAGCAGAGTTGATTAAAACCCTGGTCTTTGTGATTCTAACCATGTGCACTATTCAGTATACCATTGAGAGTTTCCATGAAATAAGCAGATGACTTACATAGTTTTCTTAAAGAATAAGAACAGACTGACATCTATTGGAATAATAACAATGGATTATTTGTGTAAATGTTTCAAAACACTCAAAACTCTGTTTTAGAAGGAATTATTGTGGAGGTAGTTATTATTAAGTAATGCCAGTATCTCTTGATAGTGAGGCTCTGGCAAAAATATAAATAGACTTGCCATGGGGAAGACTGAGAAGAAGTGTGTATTGGAGGAAGCATTTAGTTCAGGGTGTGTGTACTGAACTAAGAATCTGTGAATGATACAGGATCTAAGATCAAGAGGGTGGCCACAATCTGAACTGTGAAAGGCCTTGAGGGTGGGATTTTTATTTTGTCCCAAAGATACTGAGAGCCACTGAAAGGTTTTCATCATGACTAAAGCAGATTGTGAAAATTTTAAAATAATTTAACTCTTAATGAATGCTTATAGAAAACACAATAAAATGGAAAGGCATCTACAGAATGGAGAAAGTCTGCTTCCAGATTTACTGGTACAATGCCAAAGAAAACCAGTGTCAGACAAGTGTATGTGGCTTGGTGGGGGCAGGGAACAAGAACTAGAGGACAGGTAGGGCTGCTGTCCCCATAGCACTGGGTTTGAGTTGGGCCACATTTAATAGTAGAGCTTTGGAGTTGTGCTAACATACTGGACTCTTTATCGCCTAAAAATATCTGTTTATTCAGAGAATACGTGAGATGCATTAATAAAAGGTGAAGATTTATATGATCTAAAAAGAAACCAGAGTATATCTAAAGTGCATTAGTAAGAAGATTACATAAAGGCTCATTTAGCAGCAAGGCAGTTCTATTTGGAAATAAGAGTTTAAAGGGAAATGATAGAAAAATAGTTTGTGCTCTACTGCATTCAACTTTCCAATTAACTAATGCAGTAATTTAGAAAAGTCTCCTCTCACATTAGGTTTTCAACTCTGTTGTCTTCAAGGAAATCTGCCTTTCTCAGACCTTGTTTTGGGGTCAAACACTGAACTTGGATCCTTTCACATTCTTGTAATAGCTCATCTTCTCTTGCATGTTTACTTAGAATGAAACACAATTTCATTTGTGGAAGTACCATAGAGAGAAAGATACTACTTTCCAAAATATTGTTCATATTTGGAATCTTTCCCACAAAAATCCTGGGCAGCAGGTTTGCCATTTCTTTGCATAAATAAGGCAAGTAAGACTCAGGACAGGTTGGGTAGGTTTCCAAAGGTCACTGAAGTTGGAGTAGTAAAGCTGGGGTTAAACTGAGGTCTGTGTAATTCTAAACATCATGGCTTTCCTCTGCACATGTGCCACACTGATAAACGTGTAAGTATATGTTACTGGTATCTGTTACTATAAATATGATGCGTTTTCTAACAAGCTATATTTTCCTACAGAATATTTAATTGTGCATCTTTATTTTCAGTATAATTGAGAATAATTTGAAGTTACTAAAAGATTAGAAAATATCACTAATTTGTTCTTATTACAGAGGGATGACATTAGAAGCCCCACATATTTCTCCAGAACCAAAGTATACTTCAAATTTAACATCAGGTAATAATTAGTGGCACTAATGTCTGGTGTACTGTTTTGGTACAAGACTGTGATTTTTAAAGTTCCAGATAAGAAATTCCTGCCCTGTTTTTTTCCATAGGCTGATGTGCCAGAGAGTTACAGTCTTCTAGCCTAGTCACATAGCAGATTGCCTGCAACTTTTCAACCCCAAGAGCTCTGAGACAGGTACCAGAAACTAGTTAGGAAAGAGAAGGGCCCAGTGACTCCTGCTTTTCTGTGATTTTGTAGCACTCTAAGCACACCTTATACTGAAAATGGACATTAACGATTTATTTCTTACACTAAGAGAAGAGAGCTAATGAAAGACAAAGTGAGACATGGGGTTTAGCATGCTTACCTAGCATGCACAAGGCTGTGTGTTCAATACTGAGCACCAAATATAAAAAGAGGGAAAAATTTGGAAGAATGGTAATGGTACAAAAATCAATCACAGTTTTACCTAGGTCTTGTCAGATCAAGAGTTTGGAAAGTATTGTTTTAAAAGCATGCTGGTAGAGCAAAGTAGTGATTCTGGAATTATATATGCTTTTGTATTCCTCTTTTTTTTCAGTTTCCTAAATTTGGTATCCAAATGTCACCGAGAAAGGGTGAATGAAACACGTGCCATTTTCACAGGGAAATTTTGGAAAGGACCAGGGTGATCTGAGTAGCAGACTCAAAAGCTCACAGAGATATGGGAGTCACTGTGGACATGTAGAGCTGGAGACCAACCTTCTCCCACCTCTATGTGCACACTCAGTGTTGCCCTCCAGTCAGATACAAAGTTGTAAGCTAAAGAGTGTTATTTGGCCTTGGTCATCCCACGTCCATATTTTGCAAAAAATTCAACCATCCACATCTTCTGTCATTTCCTCTTACTTGAACTCAACTCTAGCTCAAACACAACTGTGGGCACTGGGGTATCTTTGGAGGACTACCCATACAACCATAAGCATATTCTGCTTTACAACTAATGTGGCACACTTGCACCTTCATGGTTGCTATGCTAATATCCCAAACATTGATGACCTCCCCTTCAGTACCCATCATCCTGTCTGGAGCTGGTATCCATCCCCTCAAAGATCAACAGCACTGACTACCACCAGTTCTAGCCTGCCTTCATCTCCATGGGCAAATGGTTTGTCTCAGGAGCCTCTCAAGGGGGACCTGAAGCTCTGGTCAAGATAGCAATAACTACAAGGTGCCCTGCTAAGTTCTCCATGGACCACACATTGGAGGTCCTGCTACCTCTGCTACCTCCATCGCCAGGTTCTCTCTCCTTGGTTTTTCTTTTTTGTTTTTTTTGGGGGGGTTGTTTGTTTGTTTTTTGAGCAGAGTCTCATATAGCCTAGACTGGCCTTGAATTTTCTGTGTAGCTGAAAATGACCTTCAGTTCCTGATGCTCCCACCTCTACTTCCTGAGTGCTAGGATTATAGGCATGTTCCACTACACGGGGTGTATGTGGTGCTGGGCTTGGAACTTAGGGCTTTTTACATGCTGGTACCAACTGAGCTACATCCTTAGCCTTGTTTTTTATTATTTTATGTGTTGATTCACTTGAGATTTAAAATTAAATAAATCACACCTTGCTCTTAAGGGCATTTTTATATACCCTTTAATTCAACAACCCCAACTATGTTCTGTGTGCCACACTTTTTAATGAGTATTAAGCAATCAGGAAGTAACTGTGCTCTTGCCATTGTCTCACGGGTCCTATAGTCCAGTGTCAGACAAGCACAAAATTACTTTCTGGTAATACTTACTCGGACTCCTTGAAAATCCTATCTATCGCTATTAGCTGTAAAATTTGAGAATTAGCTTTTCAAAGCTAATTTCTAGACTCTAATCTCTTTTTAATCTGTCATATGAGATACATGTATAGGCGACTAACCTGTAATATGCAGAATCTTAATACTCTCAGGCTAGACTCTTTTGAATGTCTCCCCTTACATGCTTCAAGGGCACCCCTAGACATTCACAAAGTCTAAGCAGTCAGTACCTGCAGTATGACATAAACTAGTTTAATTTTGGGGAAACATGACAAAGTCCTTGACTTAACAAAGTTATTTTACAGTGGAAGGAAAAGAAGATAATAAACATATAAGTATGTAATATCATATTTATAAAAGTAATAAAAGAAATAAGAGCATATATAAGAATATAAATAAGAATAATGAAAGAAAATGAAGCAAGGTAAAGAGTGTCACTGGATAAACTGTTTGAAAAACTATTGTGTGTGAATGCTTGTGGCAGGAACACACATGCCACAGCACATGTGTAGAGATCAGAGGACAACTTTGTCGAGTTACTTCTTTCCTTCCACCTACATTGAGAACTGAACTCAGGTTTCTAAGCTTGCTTGGTAAGTGACTATACTCACTGAGCCATCTTGCCAGCCCCTAGGTGTGATGTTTTAAATGGAGTAATTAAGGCAGTTCTATCTGAGGAAGTACATTTATACAGAGCCTGAGTAAAATGAAGAGAAATGGCAATTTGGCAGTTTCAGAGTATAACATTCCAAACAATTAAAGCTAGTAAAAATGTCATGAGGTGGGGATGGCTGAGCATGTTTGAGGAAGAAGAAAGAGATTAGTGTGGCTTGAGCAAAGCAAGACTGAGTGGTTAAAACCCTGCTTTGAGAGCTAGTTTGTTTGTATGCCATAAATGTGCTGAGAAATACACCTTAAAGCATATTAGAAAAAGGAAATGAAATGATCAGGTATATATTTTCATTTTTAAGTCTTTTTATTTTAGAATTTATTTCAATTGAATTTAAATAATTCCATGAAGCTGTTAGTTAACACATTATACACCATCATTCTAAAGTATTCATTATATGATAGTTTATTGTTTAATATGCATATATTAATAAAGAAGAAAATAATCTACATATATGGGAAAGAACTATTTCAGCTGTCCGCTAAAACTCACTGGAGGGGAGGAAACTGTATACTGAAGGAGCTCTGAGTTTCCAAGAGCCCTTGGGTTCTGTGTCTTTGTCCACATTTCTGTGGTCTTAGGATTCCAAATATAGATATAGATATGTATAGATATATGGCATGTAGTAGATATATGATATATGGTAAACAGAGTAAGGAGAGAAGAGTGGGATCAAGGAGACCTTCTTAAAATTATACCTGTGTCAATAATGGTATCTTTTTAAAAATATTTATTATTTTTATAGTGTTCTGTCTACATGCATGCCTGCACACCAGAAGAGGGTACCAGATCATGTTATAGATGGTTGTAAGCCACCATGTGGTTGCTGGGAATTGAACTCAGGACCTCTGGAAACGCAGGCAGTGTTCTTAACCCCTGAGCCATCTCTCCAGGCCACAGACAATGGTATCTTAAATCAAGTTGTTGGGCAGAGGTCTGACTTGGAATCTGTTTTCTCATTTAACTGGTTATTCGGTAAGAGAGAAAAAAAGAAGTCCAATATCAGTACTAAATTCTTGGCTTGAACATTTAGATGAAAAGAGGTATCTGTTATTGAGATGGGAACATTGTAGAGCAGAGAAAGTTAGGAAAATTATTAAGAGAATTTAATTTGGACACATTAAATTCAATTTGTCAGCTCATATGTACTGTATAATTTCACATACATGAGTTTAAGAACAGACAAGACTGTTACGAATAGTAAAAATCAGAATAGAGGTTATCTTTGGAAAGAGGGAATTATCTAGGAAAGAAGACAAGAGAAACTTCTAGGGTGCTGGTAATATGGTAGTTATACCTTGAACACAGTAGTGGCTGCATTAATGAATGCAATATATGCAAAACACTATATATAGCCTTGAGTAAAATAATTCAACCTGGAGAAGTGCATTAGCTTCAAGTGAAGCTTTCATGAAGGCAGTTTGTGATACTTAGGACAGAAGCTGTACACACACACACACACACACACACACACACCATTTATTTGGAGTTGGAATACAGGTGTTTTGATGACATAGGATTAGGTGAAATCACATAGGAAGTAAAAATGAATTAAGACATCTAAAATGAATGTAAAAGGGACACTTTAGTGTGTTGGAGTAGGGAAAAAGGGAAATGTCCATCAGAGGAAGCCTAGACTTAGTGGCTGGTGCATTAGAGAAACCTAGTAGGGTACTGTGCCTCATAAACAATGCGAGGACTTAGGACAGAGTAAACAAGCAATGACTAAATCAGGTACTTTCATTTTTAAGCCTTTTATTTTAAAATTTGTTTCATTTTCATTGAATTTAAATAGCCCTATGAAGCTGGTAGTTAACCCACTGAATGTCACCATTCTAAAGTGTGGTGTGGTGGTGCATGCCTTAGATATCAGCACATGGGAGGTAGAGTAGATCTCTGTGAGTTCAGAGTCACCCTGGTCTATAAATTGTGTTTGTAAAATACATAGTGACACCCTATCTCAAAAAATAATGACAATAGTAATAAAGCATTGTATAATATATATTAATGATATAGAGAATAATTTAAAATAATCAGAGACTAATACAGATCTAACCTGGTCCTAATCTTAGGAACTATAGCAAATCAATAGCCCAGAGGTCATCTCAGAACTCCCATGTTTGTTATTGTTCTGTTTAATCTACTACAAAATGTTGGTGATAGTTTCATCTCCTGCAAACTCATAAATCTACCTACTGTTCTTCACCCTGGGAGATGAAAATGATAGAACTAATCCATTAACCCCTAGAGTTTCCATTAAGCTTGAATTCAGGTAAATTACAAATATTCTGATAGAAGTATACTTTAAATACTATAAAAATAAATACTATTAATCTGGATTACTTAATAAAGTTTTTACTGAAATTCAAATTTAACTGAGAATCCTTTATTTTCTCTGGAAAATATTTTAAGCTGGACAATGTGTAAGCAATCATGACTCATAAAAAGGACTTTGTATATCAAAGTAAAGAGTTTGAATCTTAATTTGATGGCAGTGGAAAGCCTGAAAAAAATCCTTTTTGTTTTGTTTTGCTTTTTTTCCCCCAAGACAGGGTTTCTCTGTGTAATTATAGCCCTAGCTGTCCTGCCTGGAACTAGCTCTGTAGACCAGGCTGGTCTGGAACTCACAGAGATCTATCTGCCTGCCTCTGCCTCCCAAGTGCTGGGGTTAAAGGCATACACCACAATGCCCAGCTTTAAATTTTTTAGCTAGGCTGTGTTGGCACACACCTTTAATCCCAGCACTCGGGGAGGCAGAGGCAGGCAGATCTCTGTGAGTTCGAGACCAGCCTGGTCTACAAGAGCTAGTTCTAGGGCAGCCTCCAAAGCCACAGAGAAACCCTGTCTCGAGAAACCAAAAATAAATAAATAAATAAATAAATAAATAAATAAATAAATAAATAAATACCTTTTTAGAACCAGTCAGCAGCAAGTGCTCTTAGCCATCCCTCCATCTCTGAGAACACCTTTATTTCTTTCTTTATTTAATGATTTATTTATATTTATTTTATGTGCATCGGTGTTTTGCCTGTATTATGCCTATATGAGGGTGTTGGATCCCTTGGAACTGGAGTTACAGACAATTGTGAGCTGCCATGTGGGTGCTGTGAGTTGAACACAGGTGTTTTGCAAAAGCAGCCAGTGCTCTTAACCTCTGAGCCATCTTCCAGCCCCCACCCCCAAGAAAAATCTTAAGTAAATGACGCCAGGTTTACATTTTAGGTAAACAAGAGGACAAAGGATTATAGAGAGATGAATGAAACCCCTTAGGACAATGTAAAGGCAAAGCTTTGATGTCTCAAATCAGGGGAGTGGTGCAGAGGGTGAAGACAAGTTGGATGTACAATATTAAACTCAGATTATATGCGTAATACGCACAGTGCTCCACTCAGTAAATACTATTGCTTTGTACTGAGTCCAGGGAGTAGAGAACATGGAGGTGTAAAGAGGAGCATAAAAGCTAGAGAGAAGAGATGGTTCTTGTGTTAAGATCCAATGAGACAGAATGGGGAGTGTTTCTGCTGACGTTAGTGAGGGCTAAACTAGACTGCTTTGAATTTGAAAGTACGTAGGAGGAGAGGCAATGAAGTCAGTATATATAGATGGGTCTTTGAAGAAATGCAGCCACAGGGAAAATGTGGTGCAGAAGGAGAGAATATGGAGCACAGGAAAAGTTTGAGTAGCATAGGCCAGGCCCCAGCTTTAAATGCTGATAGAGCCAGGTATAGTAGCAGGTACATGGAGTCATTGCTGCTCAGGAGACTTAGGCAGAAGAATAGCTTAAGCCTAGAAATTCAACACGAGTCTGGACAACATAGAAACCTCATTTCATTCATAGGTAAATGACTACCTACTGGTAGGAAGGTCACAGTAGAAAGGGAGTGCTGATTACAGGGGAGTAGAAATAAAGAACTTTAGTTACATACACACATCCCTACTAACTCAAAAGTAAACCATGCATTTACTTCTGCAAGACATGGAGCTCTGAGGTGGGTTGTGTTTTATGTGGGTGTTTTGCCTGTATATATGTGTGCAAACCATGTATGTGTGCAGTGTCTGCAGTGTCCATTGGATGTCCTGGAAATGGAGTTACAGATGGTTGTGACCAGGCTGGCCTGGAACTCAGAGATCCGCCTGCCTCTGCCTCCTGAGTGCTAGGATTAAAGGCGTGCGCCACCAATGCCAGCTTAGACGTAAATTTTTAAAGGATATTTCTTCTATCTGAGGCAAGTTAGATTACTCAACATACATTTAAGTTTTTCTTTCTTTACAGAGGTAAAGTCATTAAAACCAGGGGTTTAATTTGGTTTTGAATTTGAATTCTCTGTCCTCTATACTTAATTTAATGGCTGGTTAAATAGAATTAAACTATGTTTTCATTTGTAGAAAATGCAGTGTCTGAGGTTATATTTGCTGAGAAAACTGGCCCTGCAACCATCAAAAAAACAAAGAAAAAAGCAAGTATTGAAGCAGGATAACAAATAATTGCACCAATAAAAGATGTGATTTTAATTAACGCATGCAGACATTATTTTCTGTGTATTTAGAGCAATAGAAAAACTCATTTTTGGAGCATAAGACTTTACTCAATTTTTAAAACCTTGTGCAGACCATGCACAAATATATACTTATGTAAGTTTAATAAAACAGAATTAAAACGTATTTTAACATTTTTTTCTGATTTTCTTTCAATGACTAGGTACCCATTATTCATTAAGGTACAAATAAGAAATTTACTGTGTAACCAGAGCAACATCTTATGCTTAAGACTCTGAAGTTCTCTGGGGAAGGCTTTGGACTTTGAAAGCCTTTCATTAATTGTATCATTCCATTCAGATAAGTAGTTTGTTGCTGTTTGCTCTCTTGTTTGATGACATCTATTTTATAGCTGAGAAAACAGGCTTATGTTTTCATCATTTTTAGTGGTTTGTTGCAGGTCTTTCTTACTCTAAAATCCATTTTCTTCCTATTATATAGATTAGGGAACAAATTGGGAAAAGGCAAACATGTTAACAGGGAGACCTATCATACGAAATTAAAAATAGTTTGGTGAGAGATTTTGTGTTTGGCTTTGATTAAGGTGTTTTATAGAAGGGATGGAGAGATTTACTTGGATTGCAGATAATTTTGCCTGCAGAGTTGACAGATTAATATAGAAGAATTAATATTAACAAGGACTCTACCCTTGTCTTGAGAAGCTGATTTGATGATGATAGCATTGGAGGGTAGAGACATGACTCCGTTGATTAAGTGGTTGGAATGGAAGCACATGTAGCTATCTAATCTTTCTCTGCCCTAGCTTAGGCTAGCTTTTATAACTTAAATCAACCCATTTCTATTAGTCTGTGTGCTGCCCGGAGGCTCGTTTACCTCACCTATGTACTGCCCATCCTGCGTCCCTGCCTCCTCTGTGTCTCCTTGCATCTCTGCTTTCTTCTTCCCAACATCCTTTCTGTCCCCCAAATCCTGCCTAGCTATTGGCTGTTCAGATTTTTATTAAACCAATCCAAGTGACACGTCTTCACAGTGTACAAAAAAGATTATTCTATATTTCCCTCTTTTTGTCTAAATAAAAAGGAAAGATTTTAACTTTAACAATGCAAAACTATATATAATAACAATTACAATGTAAGAAATACATTTACAATGCCCAGTCCGTTAGTATTTGGTAAACTTAATGTTCCATTATCTATCATCTCTTGATGAGTTCAAAGTTTTGTACCTAATTTACTTTCTATCATGACTAATGGAAACTGTAACTTTAACTATCTAGTCTTCAACTCATCATTTACTCCTGTAACAGGTAGGAACTGAGGGATGCTGGGAGAACCTGGCAGCTAGGTCTGCTTTGATATGTTAAATAGTCACCTCAACTGTTTGTCCCAGGTTTGAAACTTAACACTTGGGACATGGTAATGAATTTTCAAATGAAACACCACAGCACCAAAGGCATAAAACATGAAAAAATCATTGATAACTATAATAACTGTTTGTCCCAGGTTTGAAACTTAACACTTGGGACATGGTAATGAATTTTCAAATGAAACACCACAGCACCAAAGGCATAAAACATGAAAAAATCATTGATAACTATAATGCATCAGAATTCACACCTGATCAGTGAGAACCAACATTGAGAAAAAGGAGACAAACCTTCCATTTCTAAAAGGTAGATATGATGATTGTCTAAAAACCCACAAAGAACTTTCTTTTTACTCTTTTTTTCAGTTTAAATTTAGATAAGAAACGAGGTTGCTTCACAAGTCAGTTCCAGGTCCCTCTCCCTTTCCCTCCCCTCCTCCCATGCCCTCCCCCTCAATCCCCCCCCCATTATCCCCTCATTCCCCCAGGGAGGGTGAGGCCCTCCATGGGGGTATGCATAGTCTGTCATTTCATATAGGGCAGGGCCTAGACCCTTCCCCAAGAGTTCAGGGTGAGAGTGCACCTCACATTGTTGGATGGGAGTCCAAAGTCCGTGTGTATACTCGGGATGGGTACTGATCTGCTGCCCAAGGCTCAATAGATTACCTAGGCCTCCTCACTGACACTCACATTCAGGGGTCTTGATCAGTCCCATGCTGGATTCCCAGGCTGATGCCTGGGATTCAAGAGTTAACCTTTGTCAGGTCAGCTGTTTCTGGGGCTTAAACCAGCCCTGTCTTAATCCCTTTGGTCATCAGTCCTCCCTCTCTGTTACTGGCTTTCTTGAGTTCAGCTCAGTACTTAACCGAGGGAGTCTGCCTCTTCTTCGATCAGCCACTAAATGAAGTTTCTGTTTCCCAGACTCTCTGGCCATGGGATTGTAGGCTGGCACTCCCCAGATCTATGTCTAAAATCCATATATGAGAGAGTACATGCCATGTTTCTCTTTTTGTGACTGGGTTACCTCACTCAGGATGGTTTCTTCTAGTGTCATCCATTTGCCTGCAAATCTCAGGATTCCATTGTTTTTTTCTGCTGAATAGTACTCCATTGTGTAAATGTACCACATTTTCTCTATCCACTCTTTGGTTGAGGGACATCTAGATTGCTTCCAAGTTCTGGCTATTACAAATAATGCTGCTATGAACATAGTGGAACAGACATCTTTGTTGTATGAATGGGCATCTTTTGGATATATGCCTAAGAGTAGAGTTGCTGGGTCTTGTGGTAGGTTTATTCCCATTTTTCTGAGGAATCTCCATACTGATTTCCAAAGTGGCTGAACCAGTTGGCACTCCTACCAGCAATGGAGGAGTGTCCCCCTTTCACCACATCCTCTCCAGCATAAATTGTCATTGGTGTTTTTGATTTTAGCCATTCTGACAGGAGTGAGATGGTATCTCAGAGTTGTTTTGATTTGCATTTCCCAGATGGCTAAGGATGTTGAGCACTTTCTCAAGTGCCTCTCAGCCATTTTAGACTCCTCTATTGAAAACTCTCTATTTAGTTCTACAGCCCACTTTTTAATTGGGTCCTTTGATGTTTTGGAGACTTGCTTCTTGAGTTCTTTGTAAATTTTGGAGATCAACCCTCTGTCAGATGTGGGCTTAGTGAATATTTTTTCCCATTCTGTGGGCTGCCTTTTTGTCTTGCTGACTGTGTCAGTTTCAGGAGGTCCCATTTATTAATTGTTGATCTCACTGTCTGTGCTAGTGGTGTTATGTTCAGGAAGCTGTCTCCTGTACCAATTTGTTCAAGGGTACCACCCACTTTCTCTTCTAAGAGGTTCAGTGTGGCTGGATTTATGTTGAGGTCTTTGATCCATTTGGACTTAAGTTTTGTGCATGGCGATAAACATGGATCGATCCACATTCTTCTACATGCCAGCCTCCAGTTATGCCAGCACCATTTGTTGAAGATGCTTTCTTTATTCCATTGTATATTTTTAGCTTCTCACAAAGAACTTTTAAAGTTTAAGTATGAAGTAATGGACACTGGACAGAAGTTCTGAGCAGATACTTCACTTAAAGAAGTATGCAGATGCCAAGAAATGTATTACAAGTTGTTCATCATCACATGGCCATAGAAAATTAAAAATAAAACACACCAGTAGAATGTTCCAAATCTAAAACATGGACAATGCCAAATTCTGTTGCAGATGTATAGCAACAGTAGTGCTTGGTCATTGCTGGAGACTGCACATGACACAACCACACCAGAAGACAAGTTTGTGCATTTCTTCTAGCAAAACTGAGAATGTATTTCCTATGATTCAGCGATCAGTCTTTAGTGTTTACCCAAATGAAGGGAAAATTTCAGTCCACACAAAACTTGCATGTGGATGTGCATAGCAACTTCATTCATAATCTCTAGAACTCTCAAGTAACAAAACCATTTTTTCAGTAGGTGGACATAAAAACAAACTGTGGTATTTCTAATGGTGGGATATTATCCATGAGCCACCGTGAACAAGCAGTGAGTGGGCCAATAAGATAGCAGGTAAACAGCCTACAATCAACACCTCCAGAGAAGTTAGGAAACAAGGAGGGCCCTAAGAGAGACATACATGGTCCACCAGAGAAGGGGAAAGGCCAAGATCTCCTGAGCAAATTGGAAGCATGGGGGAAGGGGAAAGGGAGTTAGCAGAAAGAGAAGGGGAGAAGAGGAGGGAGGAGGAGAACATGAGGAACCAGGAAGATTGAGTCAAGGGAAGAATAGGGGAGAGTAAGAAAAGAGATATTTTAATAGAGGGAGCCATTGTAGATTTAAAGAGAAATCTGACACTAGGAAAATGTCTGGAGATCTACAAGGATGACCCCAACTAAGAATCTAAGCAATAGTGGAGAGGCTACCTTAAATGCCTTTCCCCCATAATGAGATTGATGACTAATTTAAATGCCATCCTAGAACTTGCATCCAGTAGCTGATGGAAGCAAAAGCAGAGACCCACAGCTATGCACTGAGCCAAACTCCTGGAATTCAGTTGCAGAGAGGGAGGAGTAATGATCAAAGGGGTCAAGACCACAGAAACAGATGACCTGAACAAGGACCCCAGACTGACAGCTGGGAAACCAGACTAGGACCAAACCAGGCCCCCTGAACATGGGTATCAGTTAGGATGCCTGGGACGTCTATGGGGCCTCTGGTAATGGAATAGTATTTATCCCTAGTGTACAAATGAACTTTGGGAGCCCATTCCTCATAGAGGGATACTCTACCTAGACACATGGGGGAGGGACTAGGTCCTCCCCCAAATGATGTGACAGATTTTGATGATCCCCTGATGTTCCCTGGGGAGCCTCACCTTCCCTGGGGAGCAGAAGAGAGATGGGATGGGGGGCTGGTAGGGCGAATGGGAGGATGGGAGGGAGCGGGAACTGGGACTGATAAGTAAAATAAGATTGTTTCTAATTTAAATTTTGTAAAAATCCAAAAAAATAGTAGGTAAAGGCTCTTGTTATTTAAGCCTGATTACATAAGTTTGATCCCGGGAACCTATGGCAGGAGAGAAGCAGTTCCCAAAATTGTCCTCTGACCTTCACATGCATGCCATGGTGCAGGTGCGCCTGAACATATGCATGTAAACATACTAATATTTTTAAAGAAACAGGGTTTTGAGACATGTGAATAAAACTTATTTGAAAAGGTTTATATGATTCCAACTCTATGATATTCTAGAAAAGGCAAAACAAAGAGATAGTGAAAACAAGCAAAAACCTAATGGCTGCCTGGAATTGGAAGAAGAGAGATATTAGGAGGTAAAGTATAGAAGAATTCTTAGGGCAAACAAGCTATCTTTATGATTCCACATGGTGAATATATGTTAAACATTTGTCTAAAACTACAACATATACAACATCGAGTGAATCCCAAAGTTAACTAGATTTTAGATGCTGCTGGTATGTAAGTGTAGATTCATTGATGATGAGAAATATGCCACTCGCCATATAGAGGAAGTTACTAGAGGGAGGGGTATACATATGTATTTCAGCACTATCTGAGAATTCTGTACTTCTGTTCAATTTTGATATAAACTCAAAACTGTTCAAAAATTTTCATTAATTTAGATGAGAATAGGAATTATACTTAGAATCATGAAAGAGTCGTGATTTCAGCAAGAATAATTTAGCGGACTATTGAGCATCAAAGCAAATTGGGTTAGGTTAGAGTTATGGAGAGAGAAGAAGTCATAATTTTGTATAGAATCTCACCCTGAGTACATCTGTGACCATAATTAAGACTCAGAACCTATGTGGCAAAAAGGAAGAACTGCTGAAAGAACTGGATGATCTGAAGGTGGGGCTATCCCAGCTCCGTGTTGCCAAGGTGACAGGCAGTACCAGTTCAAGTTCTCCAAGATGTGAGTCATCCACAAATCCATCGCCTATGCCCTCACCATCATTAACCAGCACACCCAAAGCCAAAATAAAAACTTCAGAAAATTCTACACGGGCAAGAAATAAAAGCCTCCGGACAGCTACCCAACAAGATGAGAGCCATGCACTGCCAGCTCACCAAGCACGAAGAGAAGCTGAAGAAAGACAAGAACAGTTGCAGAGAGAGAGGCTGAACATACTGCACAAGTATGCAGTCAAGGCCTGAGGTGGCAAAGGCAATAAAGTGCAAGACTGGGAGTCAGGGAAAGAATCAACCCTAAAGGGAAATAGTAGAAACGAGTAGCAACTGAATGGAGAGGCAGGGTCTCAGAAGCCTTTAATTAAAAAAAAAAAACTGGATATATCAGATCGCTTTTGAGAGCCACTAAAAATGGTGAATGGAAAGATGGGGGCATATCATTGAATTCTACCCAGTAGGCAACTGGAGCTCTCTAAGGCCTAGAGATCTAGTTAAACTTGACCTGAATTTCAATTCTTTGTCCTAAAGCAATTAAAGGAAGTCTTCCCCATGTTCTCTGTATTCCCTTTACTTCTTTCTGTCTCCTCCTGGCTACCTGTCCTTGTCTTTACATCTATAATGTCTACTCTATAATGCAATCTCTGCTAGTCTGCCCCCTTCCCTCATACAGCTCAAATACTTTGCAACTAAAGTGTTCCATTTCACATCAATGACATTTCTCTGCTACTGTGTCATCTGCCTCTTCTCAAAAGCTATGCTTATTGTGGATGTCTCTTCCTGAGCATGAATCAATCATCATGATGTCCTGGTGTTTAAAAATGGCTTTATTATCCTCTGATGACCTATAGCACATGAAATTATGCTCATTATAATTATGCAATAGGTAAATGCATATCAAAGTCACAATAAGATACTTATTCACATTCGCTAAGATGGCCACAATAAAAAACAGTAACCAGTATTGGTGAGGATGTGGAGAAATTGGAATCCTCATAGATCCTGCTGGGAATTTGAAATGGCTTGGCTATGTTGGAAAACAGTTTGTTGATTCTTCAAAAACTTAAATGTGGATCCGATTCAGCAATTCTACTGTAACTTTTATACCAAAGGAAAAGATTAAAATATCCATCCTCACAAAAACTTGTAAATAAGCAATTACAACTATTTATAATTGCCAAAGAGTAGAAATAACCCCTAGGCCTATTTAATAAGGGGACCACAAAATGTTGCATGCCTATATAATAACATTATCCAGCAGTTGAAAACAAATAAAGCACTGATGCATGCTAAAACATGGATGAACTTTGAGCACAGTGTGTTGCATGGAAGAAGGCCACAAACCACTTACAGGAAATACCCAGGGTGAAATATATATAAAGATATATATAAGGAGTCTTTTTCTGTCCTGCCTTCCATCTTCTAAATAATGACACAGAGACTTCCTAATAATCGTGAAAGCTCGACCTTAGCTAGGCTCGTCCCACTAGCTCTTATAGCTTAAATTAACCATTTATTTTAACATATGTTCTGTCACATGACTCATTACCTCATCTCTCCTTACTGCCCATTCTGGCTCTTCCACATTTGGCTGGCAACTCTACCTTCTTCTTCCCAGAGTTCTGTCTTTTTTCAAAAGTCCTGCCATACCTTCTGCCTAACTATTGGCTGTTCGTCTTTTTATTACACCAATCACAGCAATACATTTTCACACAGTATACAAATATCCCACAACAGACATAATTAATTAAAGGTTACTTAGTACTGGTGTAGTGGAATGGAAATTTCTCATAAATATGAGACTCTAGGAACAAAAATGTATTAAAATTAGATTGTGGTAATGGTCACATGATATTAAAAGTATCTTTAAAATATTGAATTTCATATTTATGTGAACTTTAGGGTATGTTAGATCATATCTCAATACTATTTAAGAATATGTTATTTTAAATGTCTATATACTGAAGGGATATGCCCTTGAGAACATAAGGAGGTATCAGTCTAGAATTTAAGCATGGGTACTAACCTTTAACAAAAGGGATATTTCCTTTGTGGTGGGTTTGTAGATGCAGTGTGAGAGGTCTGAATTTGCACTTAAAAGGGCACATACCATATTCAATGTTTTATTCTATCTTTAAATTCTTAAGTTTTTTTCAAGACAGGGTTTCTCTGTATAGACTTGGCTATCCTGGAACTCACTCTGTAGACCAAGACAGGCCTTAAACTCACACAAATCTGCCTGAGTGCTGGAATTAAAGGCATGCACCACCACTACCTGTACTGAGCCTTAAAATTTTTGAGTCTTGGGTGGCATCCTGTTTGATGGCTACTGTTGTTACAGAAGTGTATGGTGAAAGAGTTTCAGCTGAAAATTGCGAAGGGAAGAAGACAGGTCCAAGGAAAATAGAGCATTGTGAAATACTCATGAGAAGCTGGAAATGTGTAGTATAGTTGCTTTGTGAGGCAATTTTATTGAGTTTGTGATTTGCCATGTTACACAATTCTACCAGTGTTCAGTTACACTGAAGGTACAGAGGATATGGAAGTGGGCTTGTCTGAGGTTGAAGATTTGGTGGACATTTGTGCTAGAAAGAGAAGGAGTAAGAAGTTAATTATACTGATGGATAGTGACAGATTAGATAACCCACAAAGAAGACTAAAGAAGGCTAATGGTGAAGATACAGTATTAGGATCAGTGAATTAAAGGTTTTAACAAGGGCGTATGCTATTTCATGAAGGCACTTAAACAAGTATTAGGAGAGCATAGGAAGCTATCTGAATTGATGATTCTGAAGTTTCTATTGAAAGTGAGGGCTAGGCTTTGAGGGTGACGTGACTGAAATGGCATGAAGGAAAAGGCAATATAGACCTGGAGGAACTGAGAAGACAGCTGTGTATGTCATCTGCCTGGTTGATGAAACTACTTAGGATGATGGCGAGACATGTGTTTTGAAGGTCTGAAGTCTTTAGAGAAAAGAAGTCAGTTGGGGCCGTTGCATGCTTTCCTCTTGACTCTATCCTCTCATTTACTTGTTGGCGTGGACTATTACACCTTCCTTTGTTCCCACTCCCTTCCCTCTACTCTGCCATCCTCTTCATATCCCCACCCCAACTTAAAATCCTTAGAATTATATCACCACAATTTAATTTTATGTGAAATTCAATTTTTGCCTTCCTACTTATGTTTGGCATGCTTATATTTTAAGTACTATAATATTAAAAGTACATTATGAAACCATGAGACAAGTTCATAACTGGAGTCACTGAATCATGTGTAGTATCAGTACAGGGATTAGTTAACAAAACAACATACTTTTGATAGTTGACATGTCCTGATATTAAGAGGGTTTTCTTTTTTAGGAGACATGGTTTCTTAAATACAGATTATTTTACAATAAATACAGTAATAAATATATTTAACATTTTCCTGGCATAATTTTAGGTGTTGACGAACAGATCTTATAATTTGTTTTTGCAAAATATTATTTAGGTTTCTAGCTCCTTTTTACCCAAGTCATCATCCCCACTACCCAAATGCTCTGCCACTGACCAATCCACATTTCCAACCCTGTAAAACACCATGTAAGAGCTGATGCCTGAAATGTGGTAGAGCTGAGTATGTCAACCTATTTCACCAGATTTTCCACTTAAATATATGAAACATGTTGTTTTTTAAGCATATATCATGGTTTGGGTAGTTATATTTTGTAGTGCTGGACATATATACACCTAGTCTCAGAACATATTCCTTTTTCCTAGAAAATCAATTATCTTCACATTTAAACCTTTTTTCAACTTTAAGAAGTAATGGGACACCTGAGAAGGACAAGGAATGTTTTATAGCATTGTGAATTATATTTGGTATTGTGAATGTGTTTCAGCCTGAAAAGGAATCTGAAGATAGAGGTCCACAAGTTCAAACAAAGTTAAGCTCTGGCCATCTAGACAGCAAGGCTCCATTATCCCACCATAGTTCAGCTCTTGAAAGTATTGCAGTCAGGGATGCTCTGCCACCTCAGTCCCTGGAACCTGTGTCAGTAAGTCCTGTATTTTGTTAACTTGTAATTCTTAGGATGACTATAAAATGTATTGATTGGGAGGGTTTAGAAATTCACAATTTCCTAACAAATATAAAGAAAATATAGTGCAGCTAAATTCTATAGGTACATGCAAGCTAATGCTTTTTAAAGTAATTAAGAGTTCAAGTGGCTTATTGGAGCAGATAATACCTGAGGGAAAAGTAAGAGGGATTGGACAGTGACCGCCTGGATCCAGTGGGGAGTTCTGAAGCAACGAGTATGCAGCACCCAAGTCTATTGTGCTGTCTGCTCAGAACTTGGCTGGAGGCTGAGGTGATAGTCTCAGCTTGACAGCTGATGCAGATCCTAAAGTTAGTGCAGTAGGATTATTGCTAATCACACCCCTTGCAGTGTACCAGCAGGTTCTTTGTTCAAGGAAATCTGAACAGAGACCCTTGAAGCTGCCTCAGTGATGGTAGAGCTAGCTCACCAGAAGACTGTCTTCTCTCCAGAATCTATAGGTTCTCTCTGCATATACTCTTTGTAATCCTTGCTCACCAATCCTTAAGGTAGACTGTGCTCATTGTTCAAATAAAGAAATTAAAACTATATAGTCAATGAGTTAGAGTTAACATATTCCATATCAAGCTTTTGCCATAAATTTTTAATATATACCCATAAATTTTTAATAACAATTTTCCTAAGAATCCATTTTAGATTAGTTTATTCCAGCTGGGTTAAATAGATCAAAATGAGAAAAACAGAGTGAAAGAAAAGTAAAAGTAAAATAAAAACTAACATAGACTTAGCTATGATTCTCAATTTATCTCAGAATTTGGGTTCCAGATCTAAACTTAGATTCCCATAGCAGTCACAAACTCAAGAAGAGACACTTTTCAGAAAGGCATGGTGGGTTTACGGAGTCCAGGATGTAGAAAGGCAGCTGATTGCTGGAAACAAAGCTACCCACCTCTGTTGCTCTGTCACTCTGCCTGTCTGTTTCTCAGCTTTGTTTTCCCCCTTTCTTCTTCGTTGCCTGTTTGTCTATCTCGGTGTCCTGCTGTCTCTCTCTGATTCCTATCTCTGCTCTTTACCTGTCTCCCTGTTACACACTATCCCGCCCTTCTGTGACTCCGCCCTTTATCTCTCTCTGTTCACTTTCTGTTGTCTTTTCTCTTTCTTCTCCCTCCTCTCAGTCTCTTCTCTTTTTTCTTCTGCTCTCTTCAAGCATCCCTCTCTTCCTGCATCTTTACCTCTCATTTCTCCCTACTTTCCATTCCCACTTTGTTTATGTTAGTCTTCCCATTAAAAAGTACAGTACTATTCCAGGAACTAAACAAATCCTGAAAATAATTTTAAAACAGTTATAAGAGGTAATCATTACTGATTACTCTAGCTTTTCTTCCTAAATTAATAGTCATTCAACCTCAGAATTCTTATGTAACTGTTATGCCAGATACAGTTCTATTCAGAGTTGTTTGACTTAGATCAGTCCAGAAAATTCTTCAGTTTCCTATAGGGTGGTTTAAAAATTAATTAACAGAATGAGGATTTTATTACTATTATACGTGGTCTAGTCTACTAACTGAATTACTGTTTTCTAAATATTTCTTTCTAATAATCTATTTTGTAAATATTTATAGAAAAAAAGTTCCACTCCTCCCTATAAGCGAAGCAAAGCCTTGTTAACAAGTACACCATCTTCAGACACAGTTGACTTGGTGGTAAGTACCAGCATTTGGCCCTTGCAGTATGTGTCCTGACATCCCCTCTTCCCATTCATCTGTTTGTATTGTAACAGGGCATTTGCCCAAAATAGTAATACATGTGCTTTTCTGCTATTCACACACTCTTTCACTGGAAATACTCTATATGGAAGGGAGAATACTGCAGCACCAACCAGTGTTTGTTTGAGAATTTTGTTTAAAGATTTTATTTTATTTTATTTTGCTTTTGAGACAGGGTTTCTCTGTGTTGCTTTGGAGCCTGTCCCAGAACTAGCTCTTGTAGACCAGGCTGATCTTGAATTCACAGATATCTGCCTGTCTCTGCCTCCTGAGTGCTGGGATTAAAGGTGTGTGGGCAAGATTTTATTTTTAAATATGTGTGTATGGCTGTGTATGGGTTTGTGCATCCGAGTGTGAGTGCTCACAGAGACCAAAAGAGGGCATCATATCCCCTGGAGTTGAAGTTACAGGAAGTTGTGAACTTCCTAACATGGGGGCTGAGAACTAAACTCTGGTCCTTTGCAAGAGCAGTATGCATTCTTAATGACTGAACCATCTCTAGCCCCAAACTTGCCAGGTCACAAATTCTTCTCCCCTGACCCTTTCCTTCTCTTTCCCCTTTCTGCCCTGGCTAGCCCAGAACTCCCTTTATAGACCAGGCTGCCCTTGAATGCATAGAGATCAACCCGACTCTGACTTTGGAGTGCTGGAATCAAAGTCATGTGATATATATATATATATATATAACATAAAATTTGGAATTTTAACCATAATTAGCTGTGCATTGAACATTTCTGTATAGTGATCATCTCCATCTAGTCATAGATTTCTTTTTCATTGTGTAAAACTGAAGTTCCATACCTATTAAACAGTAACTCCCTATTGAACCCTCCCCAACACTGGCAATCACCTTTCTACTTTCTCTCTCTGAATTTGACTACATGAAGTGCCTTATATAGTTAAAATCACACATTATTTAGCCTTTGTTTTTGAGGCAGGGTATGACTTATGCTTGGATCAGTTGACTCTCCTGCCCCAACCTCCCCAAGTAGCTGGAACAATGAGTATATTTTACCATGCCCAGCAGTATTCCTCCTTTTATGACTAATGTAATTCACAAATATTATGCCTTCAAGTTTACATATGTGATAGCATGTGTCAGAAATTACTTTCCAGGGTTGGGGAGATGGTTCAGTGGCTATGATCATTGACTGTGTTCCACAGGACTGGGGATTGATTCTCAACACCCACATGGTGGTTCACAATCCTCTAAAACTCCAGTTCCAGGAAATTCAACAACCTCTCTGGCTTCTATGGGTACTACATACACATGGTGCACAGACTTAGGTAGCCAAAACACCCATATACATAAAATAAAATAATTTTAAAAACACATAATATGGGACAGCTCAGCCTGAGTTCTATTCTCAGGACTCATATGGTGAAAGGTGAAAACCAACTCCTTAAAGATGTTCTCTGATTTTCATGTAAGTAAAGAGGAATGTACACTCATAATACACACACACACACACAAATACATTTTAGCTGTAAAAACGTTCTGTTATGTGATCATATTTTACTTATGTGCCTGTCAGTCAGTGGACACTTTGGTTACTTCTACTTTGGTTGTTATGAACACTGGTGCTAAAAGCATATGTACAAGTATAAGTTCCCTATTTTCTGTTCCTCTGAGCATATACCTGTAAGTAGAATTTCTGAATGATATGATAAGGGTGCTTTAAGTTTTCTAGAAAGTCTTTTAAATAAGACTTGCATCATTTCACAATCTTACTAGCAATGCACAAGGTTCCAATCCCTGAAATCTATGACTAGATGGAGATGATCACTATACAGAAATGTTCAATGCACAGCTAAATATGGTTAAAATTCCAATTGCCAGTATTTGTGATTTTTGTATTCTGTTTGGCTTTAATGAGAAAATTATTTATACATTGATTTATCCACAGTTAAATGTTTTGAGGAATTATTTCCAAATGTAATTAATTATGTTTATTTAAATGAAGTTGTGCATGAAATACACAAGAAAATGCTTTAATAAGATAGTGTTTTCAAAAAAAAGATAGTGTTTTCAATATTAGTTTAATTAACTAAGGCTAATGATTTTGAAACTTTAAAAGGAGTTATATTGTTGTATAGATTGATTTGTCTCCAGTGCAAAATGTATCTTTTGAAGAATTATTTCCAAATGTCAGCAATTATGTTAACTCAAGTGAAGTTGTTCCAGTGTCAAGTTGGCAAGAAAGTTCTTCAAATGAGGTAACATTTTCAAGCTTTTCCTCAGCTTCTGAAAGAACAGTTACGATGATGTTTCTTTGCATGTAAAGAAGCCTCTGTTGTTAGATACATGAGCTGCAAGTGCTTTCTCCACTCTTATGAGCTGCAAGTGCTTTCTCCACTCTTATGAGCTGCATTTTCATTCTGTGCATAGGATCTTTTGAAGCACAAAATTTGGGATTTTTCATTGTTTAAGTTGTCTAATTTTTCTTTTGTGGCCTACATCTTTGGTGTCATACAAAAAGCCATGACCAATCAAATGTCAGGAAGCTTCTACCGATGTATTCCTTAAAGAGGTGTAAAATCTATTTTGACTTAATTGTTGTGTGTGCATCTAACTCTACTTTCACCTGTAGGTGTCCAGTCTTAGCAGTGCCATGCCCTAATTTTATTATCTGAGAATTGTGTTGTGTACAAAGGAGAGTTAAGTAAAATAATTCTAGAGTATCAACAGTTTGTTTTGTTTCATTTTTTGTGGCTAGAGCTTATTATGCAGTTCAGGCTAGACTCAGATTCAGTCTTAACCTCAAACTCTTGCTATAACTTCCCAAATGCTTGGATTACAGGCATGAGGCATCATACCCAAGCAAGGCAAAAACATTTTACTCCCAGAACTCAGTGAATCTCTTACTGTTTTTCACAAGCTTTGTGTGTGTGTGTGTGTGTGCACGGGTGCGCGCACACACACATGTATAATCCAAAATGTGACAGGGTAGGATGACTTATTGACTCAAATGGGAAGGCAATGACTGAATTCAGAAATTGAGTAGCACTTTGTTAAAAATTCCTGTTGAAACTTGTAGATGCTTCTATGATTGTTTTTATTTAGGTATTTGTTATTTGGATATGTATGTGTGGTGTATGCATGTGTGTTCTCATGTTGTGGGCACAGGTATGTGTAGGTGTGTGTGTGTGGTTCTAAGGTTGATATCAAGTGCCTTCTCTAGTTTCTTCCCACTTTATATATTGAGGCCTGGTCTCTTTCTGAGACCAGAACTGAATCTGGCTACCCAGCTTGCTCAGAGAATTCTCCATTTCTGCCCTTCTGGTTCTGGGATGACATCAGACCATCATACTTGCCTAACATATACATGGGTGCTAGGGATCTAAACTCCAGTCCTCACACTTGTTTTTAACCTAGCTTGTCTTTATTTCTCTTCCCCTCCTTGTCTTTCTGTTACATACAGGCTTTCACCATCTTTTCTGCTTTGTCATAACCCAAGTAGAAGGAGAAAGGTTTGTTTTTATGTGTACGTGTATTTCAGCATTGGCTAAGGACTCCTGTTAGCTTTGCCTGAGTTGCATGTCTGCCCTGGTTCATCTGTCATTGCCAGAAAAATGAAAACTCATAATTGTCTAAGCCTGGGTTTCCTGCCCACTCCTGTGGTCATAGAAAAGGTTTGTAACTAGAAGGAAGGTGCAAAATTTACTGCGCTAGCAGAACAAATTGCCGTTCTCTATTACAACTCTTTTTACAGTATTGTATATTGAACAAAGAATCACCCCAAATTTCATTTCTTTCCAGATAACTTATTTTTCAGCCTGTCATTTGCAGGCAAAGATTTTTTAATCCCAGCACTCTACATCCCAGATGTAGAGGATCTCAAGGCAAGGCTAGACTATATAGGGAAACCCTGCTTCAGAAAAGGAAACCCTCTTTTTGAGGACATGTTGGAGTGTGATGCTTTTTTATTTTAAAACTAGAGTGGAGAACTTTAGGAATATGTTGAGTCAGTTATCTTTATCTTACACTATTCTTTTTATCTAAAATATTTTGTGTTATAGTTCTGATTATTGCTTAATTAATTATTTGGTAATATAAATTTTTTAACACTTTGGGTGCTTTTTATTGATTTTTCTTTTCTCTCATTGTCTATATCTATTGATCTTTCCCACTATATTTTGGGAGTGCTTCCCTATTATTTCCTTCAAAAATCTAGAAATAAAAAACACTTTGCAGCAGGTTCTGATAGCAGCTCTATACACTGAAGTTGCCTGGAACTCGTTCTGTTCCGAGTCTAAGGGAAGGTTTCATCTGTACAATAGTTTTTGGTTCTGACAAAGAGCAGTGTACTGACTGGTCTGTTCACATAGATGTCAGTTCTGTCAGGTGAAGTTCAGACCATTAAATAGATGTTTCAAATACAGTCCTTTTCTGTGTCTGCACTAACGACTGATGCTGAGTAAAATAGAACATGAAGTTTTTCTTCAGGGATTCTCTTTCTTAAGGAGGAAAGTACAATTTTTGGTCTCATAATTATTTGTTTCAGTGGAAATTCTCCCCTGTTCAGGGCATGTGGAAAACTGTAATCACTTCTCCCAGTGGTTCACCCGCCCACCCTGGAATAGTAACTTGTTGAAGTGGCTGTGACAAATATTATAAAATGGATGGTTTCTTAAAACAAGAGAACATATTTTACCACAGTTCTGAAATCAGGATGCTAGCAGAGTGCAGCTCCTCCACATGCACTGGAGGTGAGTCTTTCTTCTGTCAGGCTACATGCCAGCATTTTATGACTGGGACAGTGTAAATCTGGTCTTTGCCAATTCTCATATAGCTCCCTTCCCTCTTTGTGTATCTCTGTTCCTTCATACGTTTTCCCTGTGTGTTCTTATAAAGACACAGGTTACATTGAACTAAGGACTGTTCTAACTTGATGAAATCTGTAGTGACCATATATCAAAATAAAGTTACCTTCACAGTCACTGATGTCTTCTTGAGAAAGATATGGTTCTGCCCATGATATTCGTTTGCTTTCCTATCTTATCAATCCTAGACTCATTGTTAGTCATTTGCACAACTTTTTAGATCTGAAGATTCATCAAGTTTTACCTCACTGAAAAAAGCTTCTGCTGAAATCTTCTGACTTGAGCTTTCTATGCCTGCCCACAGTTGTCAGTCATCTTGAGATATTCCTGAACCACAATTCTGGGTGTTCATGTCACAAATCTACACATACTCCCCAGCTGCTAGCACTCTCCCTCCCCCCTCCCTTAATTTAGAGAAATGAATCCTCCACTACCTCTTATGAAAGGGAGTATGGGATTGTTTGGGATTGTTCATGACAGAACAGGTTTTAATCCTATCCTCATAGTCGAGGATTCACCTAATCTAGTTAGAGAATTGGCAGTGCAAATAATTTTCTTCAACATTACCTTATCAGAGTTCTAGCTTCCCATGTTATTTTGTGGAACCATATTGATGCTGGAAAAAATCTTGTCTTTAGATCCTGTGTTGTGAAAATTCTTGCCATGCCTCACTCTTTTTCTATGTACTGTATCAGAATGTCGCATGTATTTGTGTGTGCATGCATGTATATGTATGGATCTGTGTATATGTGTAAAGATGCCATGGCCCACATGTGGAAATTAAAGAATAGCCTTAGGTGTTGGTCCTCACCTTCCATCTTGAGAAGCCTCTAAAATTATTTGTACCTAGAGACAGGAGACTCCCCAGAAGCTCATGCACTAGCTAGCCTGTCATACATAGCATTAAACAACAAGCAGTCCTCCTCCTTTCTCTCTCCCCACTCCGTCCCCCACTCTCCACACAAGCCTGTGCACACACACACACACACACTCACACACACACTTGTGTGCACACACTTAATGACTTACATGCAGTCATAGTTAACACTGAGGATGTGGGAAGGTAATTAAACAATCTCAATTGTAAGTAGTAATTGACAACTGTGAAATCATTGTTAGATGATATGGCTAACCTTTCAGGGTAATAACATTAGGCCTTTGGACAGCTAAGAGCAGAATCTTTTAGTTTCTTGTCTGGGGGACAAAGGCTCCTTGGGCTTGGAATCTCAGCATCTGCTGACTTATGTTTACTTCATTCAGCTGTTTTCAGCATTCTACCCTGAATGGTCAGAAATCTTCCAAGGAGGAAATCATTGGCTAGCACCTTTCCTTAGGAAAATTCTCTATCCTGTGTTTGAGATGGGAGGAGGCTGTTCAAAGAAGTAAGAAAGCAGAGCTGTGTATAAAATAACATCCATACAAAAGATAATCTGCATGGTTTAAATAAGAAGTAAGCAATGCTTTTGTTCCCCTCGTTTACACAATAAAACAGGACGTTATAAATACCCTCTCCAAAGTGTTTCAGATTCATGATTCAACTCATCCTCTCATTAAGTTCCATTTTCCTGGTGCTTGTTTCATTCTGTGGTGGTTTGAATGGAAATGGCCCTCATAGGCCCACTGTGAAGGATTAGGAGGTGTGTGGTTTTGTTGCAAGGTTTTGAAAGGCATGTGCTGTGCCCATTGCTTTCTCTGCCTCCTGCTGTGGTTTGAGATGCCTGCTCTCAACTGCTCCTGTTGCCATTCTTCACTTTGCCATCATGGACTCAAGCCCTCTGGAACCATAAGCCAAATTAAAATCCTTTCTTTGTAAAAGTTGCCTTGGCCATTGTGTTTTCTCACACTTGGAAAATAACCAAGATAATTCATTGCCTCTTTTTATTTTTCAAAACTAACATCATTATTGAACCATCCCTTGGACATGGTACATATCCTTGCTATTTGAATGTTCCTTATTGTTTTTCAATATGTTTCTATCATTCCAACTAAGAATACTGAGATTATTTTTATTTTAAATAGACTGCATTAAATGTAGTACCTAGAGAAATTAGGCAATAACTACTCTTTTCCTTTTCAGTTTCCGTCATATGCATCAGAGATCTGTTGTATTATTCGGGCATCACCAGGAACTAGACAGATGAGAAGTAAAGATACTGCTGTGAAGAAAAAGTATTCTCCTCCTAAAGATATTCCTCCAGGTAAGAGCTCAGCATGGCTTTCACAATAAATACTTTATGTACACAGTAAATTCATTTATAACTTGTATTCTCAATTTTTACATAAAATTGAAAAGATAAAATTACAAAAACCTTATCAAATGTCATAAACTTTAATAAGATAACTTTTTGAAGATACATACTTCATCTTTTGAAAATTTAACTTATGGCATTGACTTAAATGTGTTTACCTAGGATGCTTCTTTTTAAACAGTTTGAAATTTTCTACTGTTTGAATTTTATTGTAGTTGTATTTTTTTAAACATGGAGATTTTTTTATTCACCTGGTACTGATTGAGTACTTCTGTGTGAGATACTGTGCTAAGGATCTTAACATCTCAATTCCTCACCATTATTACAGTAGATAAAATGGGTACTGTTAGTCTACTTTTACACATTTAAAGAGTAGGAGATTTTAAATGGTAGTCATTACCAAGTGATTGAGGCAAATTCAATCATTCAAGGCTTCTAAAATCAAAATAAGCATTTTTAACTCTGTAGTGGAGCCGAGGAACCTCTCGTGAGTGAGTGGCCAATGAAACAACTAAAATTTAATATATTATATATATAATCATGTAAGCTGTTAACTCTCAACTTTTGTCCTAATTTTTCCAGTGTCTTCTCTAAGCACTCTTCAAGTTCATAAATGTTCTCTTTTAAAATAATTTCCTGATTGCCTGAGTCAATACTACTCACTTTATACATAATAGTTATATTACTGAGGGTTGCCCAGAATAACAGAACAAGTATCACTAGGAATATGTCTCTCCATACATACCCTCAAACACTTGCACACTGTTTAGTACTTCTGGAAGAGGTTCATTTTAGAAAGTGTGGTAAAATAGATAAAAACCTTTCCCATTGTTTCTTGTGATCAAATACATAAATACATATGACACAGATAGGTAGGTATGTAGGTAGGTAGGTAGGTAGGTAGGTAGAAGATTGGGGTGTTTTATATGAGAGGAGACTTAATATAGGAATTGGTCACATGATTATGGAAGTTTCAAAGTTCTAAGGCATTCCATCCACCTGCTAGACAACCAGCGGTGCCAGTGGCATAGTTAGGTCAAAATCCAAAGGTTTGAAAACATGGGATGCCAGTGGTGTAACTCTCAGCCAAGAAGAGCAATGAGCACTAACCATAGCTCAAAGCTGTTGTGTCCTGAAATTTCTTCTACTGAACAAATGAGTTCATTAGTTTTTAATTCAACCTCACTCAGGTTTTCAGGACATAGGCAAAATATAGCCAGATTTTTTTTTTGTCAGAATGTAATACAAATGGCCTGTAACCTAGTTCCAAATAGAGCTGGTTACCTTCTGAACCTTTATGAGCTGAATTATCACTGTCTGTACTTCCTTCCACATTCTCTGTAGTTTTCTAAACACCCACTAGAATGACCAATTAATCTCTGCTTACATATTCTGGAGCTTCTTTAACTCACAGCTCCAGATTCCTCTACATTCCTCCCACAGAACAGTCCCAAATGCCTAGGACTTCATGGTAACATTTATCACAGGAGTGACATCACCCTAGCACCAACTTTTCTGTATGAATTACTTTTCTACTTGTGACTAAATAACTGATAAAATGCAACCTAAAGGGGAGGAGTTTATGTTGGCTCATGGTTTAAGAAGGAATGTAGTCAATCATGGTGGAGAAAGCATGGTAGCAAGAGCACGAAGACAGCTGGTCACTTTGTGTTTGATGCGAGGTTGTGAAGAGTGAGCAGGATGTAAGCCTTAGCTACAGGGCCTCAAGGCCAGCCCCTAACCACCCAGTTATTCCATGAAGGTTCCATTTCCTATAGGTTCTACAACTTCTTAAAACAGTACCACCAGCTGGGGAGCAAGCATTGAAATACAGGAATCCATGAGGGACATTTTACATCTAAACCATTACACCATGACACCACTATCATTCTGTAAAGTAGTTCATAAATTCATGTGTAGCAAGCTTTGGCAGAAGTGATGTATGTAAAAAGGGCATATCATCCACATCCATAGTGTTCACCCTGTAAAGAGAAAATACTACCTTTTGCATGATAAAAGTTGTTTAGTGTAATCAACCTGCTGCCACATTGATGGTTGAGCATTTCAAGGTGTACTACTATGACAGTGCCCCCTTGGTCCGTGTTGATGAGTCTGTGCTCCCTGCTACCTCATTACTTCCTGTACACAGACAGAGAGGATACTAATCAGCTTCCTTACTCTTTCTCCGACCTTGTTCTGACAGAGTTTGCTAGGGAAAGAGACTGAATGGTATCCACAGCATTGATTATCCTACCCACTTGATTATTAAGATTCCTCCTCTAGTGAAATCACTCTTTGGTGTTATGATTATGTCATACAAATGTTTTAATTGTTTTTGCCTATTTAGAGAATTTATATAATGCCTCTTTTCAAATTTCCTTTTCACCTATTTTTCTAATTGCATTTCTTCCGAGTCTCAACCATCTATCCAAAACATTGGTTATAACCTATGAATTGGTATACACCCAACATGTGGTCATTCCTCCTTCCAGCAAAGAAAACAACCAGGTGTACTACTCAGAGTCCTGCCCCTGGGGAAGAAGATTTCTCTTACTATTTTTTGTGAGGTATATCAGAGAAATTGATCAATCTGTAAAGCAGATCTGATCTTTCTTTTTCTGGTCAGTCAACTATAGAGCACTCCCCATGACCTCTTAAGTGTAGACAGGATAAGGAAAAAAAAAAGTAGTTAAAGTTGGGGCTGTGGCACTTGGATCAGTTCTTCATGTGGCCTACTTGTGTCTTTAGTGCATGCTTGAGTGCAATCTTATATATATATCAGTTTCATTTGGCAGTGGAGACATGATCTTCTCTACAGTAGCTCGGTAATACAGTGGCTCAGTTTTAGGACCCATTTACAGGCCAAATGATGTTCTTCTGTGTTTAAGTTATCCACCAGACTAGTTGAACTTGCCTTTGAAATTCTAAGGACCATAATATTCAACTATGAGGTTCTACCAAAAGATCCAGACAGCATCTCTATCTGTCAGGGACACTTAAAACACCACTGGTTCTACTGGACCATGTAGTGCAAGTGTTAGAGCATCTTTTAGCATAACTTGGATCTGTTTTAGAACCTTCTCTTATTCTGGGCTTTTTGTTAAACCTAGTAATGTTTTTTAGGTCACTTGGTAAATGGTTTACAGTATCACACACAAATAGGATACATGTTGACAGCAAAATCCATAATGGCCCATGAAGGAGTGTGCCTTTTCCAGTTTTAGGAGGGTCCAGCTACAACAACTATGCCTTACTTTAGGAGTTACTGTTCACAGAATAGGGTCCCTAGGAGTCTTGAAATAGAAAACCCCTAGCAACCCAACAGTTCTACCTCTAGAGAAAAATACTCAGTAATGATGTCTATGTAGATATAGACTACAGCCAGGTGTAGTGATGCATATATTTAACTCCAGCATTTGGGAGGCAGAGGCAGGTGGGTGGATCTCTGAGCACTTGAGGCCAATCTTCTCTATGCAGCAAGTTTCAGGACAACTAGGGTAACATGATTTGTCTTTCAAAAAAAAGATATATACTAGAATATTCATTGGCCATGATAGTTCCAAACCCGAAACTAGCCAGATGCACATGAATTAAAATAGGTAAGTAAACTGTAGTATATATATTCAAGTGCTACATAGTAATAATCAAGCAATATATAGTTAAAGGAAATTTTTGTGTTGGGTCATATTAATAAACTTCACATAATGAATTAGATAGTCTTGAGGAGTATATTTACTATTATTTATATGTGTGTAGCATAAACCAGGTAAACTAAACTCTAAAGGAATTGGGAGTGAATGCCTCATTTGAATGAAGGTATTGACTAAAGAAGTTGTTACAGGTCATTCTCCTGTGCTAGTTACACTAGTGTGTTACATTTATGAAAATCCTCAAACTGTACTTTTTGTTTATATGTATGTTAATAAAAACTTTATTAATAAAAATAGGAAAATTATTGACCCTTTTTTATGTCTGTCATATTAGTTTATGACATCAGATACTGTCAAAATTTGGGGATTAAGTAACAAATCCAAACCAAAATGGGCTTTCAATTGTTCACGGTTAGAAGTTTAATTTAGAGACCCCCCTTGATGAATGTTGAACTGATGCTGCCATCTCCTGGCTTATTGTTGCCCTAACTAGAGCAGCCTCCTCACCTAAGTGATTGCCCTTCGACCTCTGGCTACTTGTGTCTGCCTTTCATTTAGTAAAAATAGCAAAGTACCAAGCTAACTTGTGATCATGTTATTTAAAATAGCCAACAATCTATTATTAGCATTGGCATTTAAAGTTTTAGCTAGTTTGGCAGTACTCTAATCAGGGATACAGTTCATTTTGATGGTCTAGGATCCTGTTCAGTATGACTGAAAAGCAACTAGCATTATGTTGATTAAAGAAAAAAATGGTTCAAGAAAACAACAACAACAGTAACAAAAATGATATAATAGGGAACACAGAGAAGTAAATAGGCTCTGAAAATGGTGACCACTAAGTTGATGAGGACTTAGAAAATGTCTGGATCAACACTTGTCTGTGGTGGTCTTCTGACCACCAGGACAGCTGAAAACCTGGTAAGTTACAGGTGCTTGAGAGAAGGCAGAAGTTACAGGTGCTAAACTGTGTTAAACTTTTGAGGTGATTACAGAAATCACTAAAATTTGAGAGCCACGTCCTTTTCTATTTTGTTCATTCTACAAACAACAAAATTATTTTACCAGATTGATGAGTGATTTTTGTCCTAGATTACACAGATAATTACTGGCCAAATCAGAACTAGATTCCCGCACTATATGAATCTAAAGGAGGATATTTTTAGCCTTTAATCATATAATTATATAATCACAGACATAGACACTCCTCTTTCTCTCTTGGTGAGAAGCTTGAGATTTTAGACAATGACAGCAAGTAGAAATAGCACACAGACACACAACAGATGAGGTGGAAATAATTCTATATAAGTATCAGAGAGATGGTAATAGAAGTCATTGGATAATGGTATATTCCTATATTCAAATTCTGACACATGAATAAATTCCTTAAAAGTTTATGGATTTTACTATGCTATCTGTAAAACTGGTTAGATAGTTTTTACCTCAAAGAATTGTGAGGCTTATGGGTAAGCTATGTAAAGTATCTAGACTATAATAATCACTCATTATGCAGCCTGAGAATTTAACTCAGTGTAGAACACTTCCCTAGTATATGTGAGACCCTGGGTTCAATTCTCAGCACTACAAAAATAATTCATCTGGTTTGCAGTGATGATTTGCTTTTAGATGTTTGGTTAGTTCCTCAAGTCTAGCTGACATCTCTCTTTTGAAAACTTTTCCTTGGTTTTTGGTTAAACTGCAAAAAGTCTAAGATAATGTGTGAAGTTGCTGTATCTGATGGCAAAATTTGGTTATGCTATCATGTGAAGAATAATTTATCAAGTAAGTGTATAGAGTCATAGACAGACATGTTTACTACTCTAACTACAGAGGTGAATTCAGTGCTTTAAAGGACAATAAATCAACATGTTTCAACACCATGAAGAAATCTCAAGCCTGTTATTTGGGACCTAAATTTGAGTAGCAAACTGCAACTTAACTGTACATCGCTTTCCTGATTGTCTGATATATAGGTCTTTTACTCAAAGGTTCTAATTGGCATGGAGGCATGACTGTGATAGGAGGATTTTCTGAGGTGCAACAAAATTAGAGAATTACCTGGTATAATCTAATTAGGCTAGGGGGTGAGATGAAAATGTGACAGTGGGAAATTGGCTAAGCTGTAGTCTCCCTTCTGGATCTCCTGGTGTAAGTCCTAAAAAGAAAGCCCCAATAATGCTGTATTTGGTAAGAAAGTGGATTTAACCGCAACAAGGAGTAGGGAATGCAAAGGAATGGTAAATGAGACGATGAGAGGTGAGGTTTGAGCAATGCCTGAGCCGGGAAGAAGAGCAAAAAGCGCCAGGACAGAGTTCCTCCAGGTTGCAAGGTTAACCCAGAAATGCTGCAGAGCACCATTGTCAGTCCTTGTCAGGCTTCCCTCTAGAATGTTACTGAGCATGTGTCTTGTCGCTTGTGTCTCCAGAAAGAACTCCCCAGAGTTTTTAGGAAGGGATGGGTGTGACACAGGCAGTGAGTACTCTCACCATTGGGAATGGGTTATTAGTAACTGTTGGACACTTGTTTCTGTACAAAGTAATGTGTTATATTTTCTCTAGATATTATAATGAAGACAAATGGCAGAACATAACAGCTGTGACTGAATTTTCACTGCATTGAAGATGTGAGTGTGAAGTAAAAAAGTCCATATAAGCAGAATATCTGCCGGAAATTACATAAAGTTCAAAACTCTCCTATTGTTTATGATAAATTGTGTGAAAACTTGCTAATGTTCTTGTCATTTTCTTTAGTCAGTTAAGAAAAGAGACATTCTCTCATATGCTTCATATACATGTATTTGTACTTGAAAATATGGACCAACTAGGCGTCATTAGAAGACCATGCAGGCTGGAGAGTGCTCATGGTTTAAGAGCTCTTCCAGAGGTCCTAAGTTCAATTTCTAGCAACAATACAGTGGCTCACAGGTATCTGTAATAGGATCTGATGTCTTCTTCTGCCATGCAGGTATACATGCAGAGCACTTATACATAAAATATAAGTAAATAAATGTTTTAAAAATTAAAAATGAGACCATGTACTAAAATAGATCGTTTTCTGCTCATAATAAGTTCTCATGAGGGTACTGTATAAATTTCTTTGTTTTGTCTCCAGATATGTCCTTTGTATGGATCAAAAGAAATAAAGTTGTTGAAGTGCTAAAAATGAAAATGATTATATTACAAGCTATTTTTAACCAAACTTAATTGAAACCACATGAGTGAGAGACCTAATTCCAGGTCTGACTAAAAGAAACTCTACAATCAAAAATTGCTCAAGCAGGAATATATAATGTGTATAGTCAATCATACATTAAGAATTTAGTCACCTCATCTCCCAAGTAGCTTCAACACTATCTGTAGAACTATGATTATGTTTGTTTTAGTGTTTTCACAGTAAAACTTGTGACATCTGGACAGTGCCTGTCCTAAGAAAACAGCAGCACTGTTGTCAGTGAACAGAGTACAGTTGTGTAACTTGATGAGATTTTAACTCTGATGTTGTGACTAAGGCTACATATAAAAGCAAGAACCAAAGTTTCAAAGCTGCTCCAGTAGCAAGGAAAAGCATAAAATTTTCTATTTAATCTGAGGTTAAATAACTTCAGAAGTCCTATTAAAAATCCTTGTAAATGATTTGACAAGGTTTAAACCACTATCAATGCTATTTTTTTTACTCTGACTTCATTTGGAGGTGAACTATGAAAATACAGAAAATACATTAATGATGATTCAGACCTGTTTTCCACATCACTCTTCAAGTAAGTCAGAAACTCCTGTGGTGGTTTCAAAAGCAGAAATTTGATAAATAGTAGGGGAATTAGTACTGACACAAGGTCTATTCCCTGCCCTTACAGTTAATCCAAGGAAAAGAGTGAATTACTTAGTTCTTTCTAATCCGATGATAGGTCCCTGAGAAAAACCGTGATGCCTGACTTGTGGACTGGGACTGGTAGGATTATAGGACACATGTATCTGACTACTTTATACAGCTAATAAGAAAAATATAGCTAGCTCTAGACATCCTAGGAGAAGGATAGACTCAACCTTAGGCCTGTGGGCAAGCCTTAGTCTTTCATTAACTCTTCCTGAAAGAACATGAAAAAGGGCTTCATTTCTCTCTGGAAAGAGAAGTTCTCCACTGTTTTCATCATGTTTCCCATTGATTTTATAACGTAGCCCAGTGCAGTGGCATACCTGTAATCCCAGCTGCTTGGGAGGCTGAGGTATAAGGATTGAGAGTTCTGGATCAGCCTAAGCACCTTAGAAAGACCTTGTCTCAAAAGAAAGAAATTTAAAAGTGCTGGATATGGGTATTGCTCAAAGGCAGAGTGCTTGCCTAGAAAATGAAAGCCCTAGGTTCTATCCCCAGCACTGAAAGGACCTGGACCATTTTACCTCATCCTATAACTAATTGAACTAAATTTATTAATTTAAAATATGTTCAAATTAAACCTCATATAAAATCATCTCAGGCTTCTCTTTGAAAAACCCAGTTAAGAGGCTGAATAAATATCTCAGCAGTTAAGAGCATTTCCTGCTCTTCTAGAAGACCAGAATTCAGTACCCAGCACCTGTGTCAGACAGTTCAAGTTCCAGAGAACCTGACACACTCTCTGACCTCCACAGGCACCTGTACACTCATGGCTTAGACACACACACACACACACACACACACACACACACACACACACACACACTTTAAAAATCTAGTTAAAATGCATGGGAGGCATAATGTCACTTCTATTTTTAACTGAGGGATATTCACTTGAGAAATAATTTCATTAATTCCTATTGTGTACATATATAGCATTGTGTGTTTCTACAGTGTAAAGAGTATGATGACAGACTCCAGAAAAAAAGTTGTTTTCATCTTCTCTATGCAGTTTTTACTTTCTAGCCTACATTTAGAAATGTTAATTCCTCTTGCATCTGAAATCTTTCTTTGATGTTCTTTACACATCTACATCCAGCTATCTTTAGTTTTTTTCACAAACCTATCTCCAACCCCAACAAAATCTTCTCCTGCCCTCCCTCCCTCCCTCCCTCCCTCCCTCCCTCCCTCCCTCCCTCCCTCCCTCCCTCCCTCCCTCCCTCCTTCCCTTCCTCCCTCCTCCCCTCTCTCTCTTTTTCTGAGGCCAGGCTAGCCTTAAACTCATGGAAATCAACCTGCCTCTACTTCCTGAGTGCTGGGATTAAAGTATTTGCTATCATGTCTGTCCTTCTTGTTGCTATTTTAGAGGGTATTTTGAATTCTCATCTTGCCCAGTTTCTCCCAGCTGCCAATATTGAAGATGCTAAAGTACTCTTTTTCAGAGCCTCCAGTAAGGAATGACCTCTCTAAAATTTTATCCCATGGGTTTTAATCTCACTGCTCCCATTTTTTCTAAAATTATGGTTTTCTCTGTGCAGTCTTTAAATTTTGGTATTTCTGAGAGTTCTGCTCCAGATCCTCTTTGTCAGCAACATGCTTGCTCTGGGTCATCTCATCTACTTGTAGCTCTAGTCATTATTTCTGTCCAAGTGACTCTAAATCTTTGTCTTTTCCATAAATATTGGTGATAGGCCAGGCATGGTATGACATGACTTTAATCTCAGCACTTGGGAGGCAGAAGCAGGTAGATCACTGTGAGTTTGAGACCACAGTTTGAGATCTGCATAGGGAGTTCCAGGCCAGGGTTACACAGCAAGCGATCGAGTGAGTGAGTGAGTGGGTGAGTCTGTCTGTCTGTCTGTCTGTCTGTCTTTGTGTGTGTGTGATTGTGGTGATAGGAGGCATGTGTGGTGACTTGTATTGCATCTATCCATTACCCTTTAACTCTAAGTAGATTTTTAAATGTCTAGACTATATGGTTTAGAGTTGATTCTAACGTTAGTTACAGACATAGGTCTTTACTGGTTTAAATCAGTTAATATCATCCCTACTAATGGTGGAAATGATTGCTTCAGGAATGTGTCCAAGATCTAAAATGGTTTGTAGGATTAACTATCAGAGCATTTTCTTTCTTTTCTTCCTTCCTTCCTTCCTTCCTTTCTTTTATTGAGCTATACATTTTCCCCACTTCCCTTCCCTCCTTCCTTCTCCCATGCCCCTGCACACTCCCAATTTACTCAGGAGATCTTCTTTTGCCCCTTCCTAGGCAAATCCAAGTATGTCTCTCTTAGCATGCTCTTTGTTATCTAGGTTCTCTGGTGTTGTGGCCTGTAGGCTGGTTGTCTTTTGCTTTATCTCTAATATCCACTTATGAGTGAGTAAATATTGAATTTATCTTTCTGGGTCTGGGTTACCTCAGTCAGGATGGCATGGAACATTTCTTGGAATGATCTAATGCGGGCTTTTCTCTTAGAAGAGCAAGGAATCTTCTAGTAGCGTCTAGAAGCCATTGAGTGTAGTCATGAGGTTCTAGATCCCTAGAACATGGGTCCTAAGATTGGAGTTTTGCCATGTAGCCCAGTCTGACCTGCTATGTAACTCAAGATACTCTTGAACTTGAATTCTTGCTGCAACAATTTACATTTCCAGTAGCAGGGAATTCTCTCCCAGCACCCATGCTAGCATTGTTGTCATTTGTTTTCTTCATAATAGCCATTCTGACTAGAATGAAATGGAATCTCAGTGTTAATTTCCCTGATGGCTAAAGATGTTGTAAATGATTTCCAGTATTTGTTATTTGTGTTTCTTTTAAAATACAGAAATTTTATTTATTCTTTCATGTATGTACATATTGTATTTTGAGCATATCCACCCCGTCACCAATACATGCCCTCCCTCACAAAACTTCTCCTAATTTCCTGTTTTCTTTGAAAAATAATCTACAAAGTCTAATTAGTGCTGCCCATATGCACGTTGGTATGGGACCATCCATTAGCCTGTGGGCAACCCAACAGTGGCAATTTGACTAAAGAAAAGTGATGTCTCTTGCAGCCATAAACTGCTAATAGCTCCTCTGCTAGGTGTGTGGCCTTGCGAGCCCCTCTTCCATTAGTTCTGAAATTTTGATTGCCTCAGTCTCATGTGGGTTTGTGCAGGTAACCACAGCTATTGTAAGTATGAGTTAAACAGGTATGTCATATCAAGAAGACAGCATTTCACAATACTTCTTCCCATTCTCCAGCTCTTACATTACTTCTGAACTCTCTTCTGCAGTGTTCTTTGAGCCTTGGATAAGGGCAAGGATGAAGAAGATTGATATAGATGCTGCATTTAGTACTGAGCACTCAATAGCCACCAATTCGCAGAATTTTTACCAGTTATGGGCATTAACTGCTGCCCACTGCACAATCAGCTTCTCTGAACAAGGTTAAGAGTGTCATAATAAATGGGCATGAACATAAATATTTAGATGGAAGCTAGATAACATGGCCATTTAGCAAAACAACAATAGTAGGGTCCTATTTACCTATGGAGCAGGCTTTAAACCCAATCAGAAAGTAGTTGGTTAACCACTTAACTGTGATGTTACTTTTGTGGCAGTGGGCCCACCTAGCCTGGCATGTGATTGTTATAGCATGTAGGATCCAGTGCTGGATAAGACCATTGGTGTCTTTTCTCCCTAAGGGGTCTGCACATCACTTTCCAGCATCATGAAAGCATCTGAATGTTATCATTGTGGTAGCGCCTAAATCAGTCTGTGCCTGAACTGTTCATCTACTTTTAGGTCTAGTTATGAACACTAATAAATTTCTTTCTTTTGCTTATACTAATTTATGTTTCCTATTATGGGCAACATAGACTGGTTAATAGATTTAATTCAATCAGCTTGTCTAGAGATGTCTGCATCATATCATTTATCTAAGCATGGGAGAGCATATAGTTATCTATCAGATCTATTTTTCCATATATTCTAAGCTCCATCAATACATAAAATATATTATTACCGACTGTGTTTCTATCTTTCAACAAAGCTAATAGGACCATAGTAAGAATTTTAAATGTTTGAAATATATTTGTTGAAAGTTTTATCATAGAAATATGCCATTATATGAACTTTTGTATGCATCTAATGGAATTCAAAGTAAGGAATTCATGCCAGTATTTCTTATATTTAAGGTAAAGGTTCCATTCCCTAGAAGAATTTGTCACAATCTGCAGTATCTTTCTTTGTGACTTGCTGGTTTCAAAAGGGCAGGGACTATGTCT